ACCTTCAGAGAAGTACTATAGTTATCACAAAATTTAATAACGTTCATGCCAGGGTAGTAGGGATAGCTGTTATGATTTGTTTCATATGGTTATGAACATAAAGTTGTACTAATTAGTTAGATATGAGTATTGTAACAGATATTATGATTGACTCAACAGCTTTTCTGCTTTCCTAATTTTAGCAGCCCTGTGGGTCTGCAGGGAGTGACCCAGCTGCAGGGATGGGGCTCGATTAATCTAAATTTAGGATAGGTTTAGATTAATTTAATCTTGGTAACTGACCATGCAGTGATTGGTTCAGAAACTCAGCCTTAGTCCCTAGAACGTGACATTCCCATGGTTACAAATCTGGTTAAAAATCCAAAAATAAGACATGAAGGAAAGGTCGCTGGTGGCTTTGGGGAAATAGTTCTTCACTTTTAAGAAAGAGGCACAGGATGATGATCTCTTTTCTTCTTGGTGTTACTGTTGTGGTCAGGAACTGCTATCAGTCAGAGGATAAAACTGATACTCCCAGGAGGGTAGAGCCAAAGGAGGTGCAGAGAAATGAGCCGGAACTACTGGACTGAACCATCTCCAAACCCCAACTCACCACTGGGCTTGTTATATGAGTCAACAAATTACCTTAAGATAGTTTGATTTGGGGTTTCTGTTGCAGCAGAAAGCATACTAATAGGTATAATTGTATTATTATTCTTATGACTGGTTATTCTTTTCATCTTGGAGTAGCCTCAGGAAGTTATTTTTCCATTAAAATTTAAGGTGATTATTAATCTATATATTTTACTGATATTGTTGTCAAACAAATTGTAATATAAAGATCTTTGTTTATTCTACTGTAACAAGATTTCTCAGCATCCTTACTATTGTTACTGCAGTATATATACTAAGAAAACTTTGAACTTCCATGGTTTTCTTAGCTTTCTCCACACTTGGTAGAATTATGTCATTTCATAAGAGGGTTTAACCTTTCATTTAGTGTCTACTGTGTACATGTTTCTGTGTGCAGCCTAACTGGCAGAGAGGATTGAGCCCTTGCTCGATGTGAGAGCAATTCAGAGCAGTATGTTAATAAGCCAGATAACACGGGGTTGAATTACTGTGCCAAAGCCAGGCCTTGGAGAAGTGATGGGCACGGCTGAGTGGACAGCTGAGGAAGGAAGGAGGGGGGCGGCTGCCTGGGTAGAGAGGCATCCTCAGAGAAGGCTGCCCAGTGCGGTGGCCATGCACAGAGGGGGGACGTGTGCGGCCCTGAGAGAAAGAGGCCGAAGCTGAAGAGTCTCAGAGGGCGGCAGTATCAGGAGAGCGGTGTATCCCGGGGAACAGACGGCATTACCAGGAGGAGGAAGTTGGAAGTTGGCTCCACGGCTTCCTAAATAGTGAGGTGACGTTACCACAGGGATTGCTGAAAGTTATTCTCACAGTTGCTGGCGGCAAGTTGTCCAGGGAGAGAGGTTGGCACAGTGTCCTGGGAAGCTGTTCTCATAATCCATGCATGAACTGACAAGAACTGCAGGATGATAGAATCTGAATGTGTCATCTCTTACATTTATATGGAATTTCAGAGTTCCCACAGCACAGTCATACCCATTATCTAATTCACCTAGTAGATCCTCTCAATCTTTTTTTAAGGATGAAGAGAATAGAGGTTCAAAGCAATGAAGCAACCTCCCAGAAGTTGTTAAAGACAGAACCTAACCTACAATCTAGGTCTTTTTTTTTTTTTATCCTCACCGGAGGACATTTTTGCATGTATCTTCAGATAGAGCGGGAGGGAGAGAGGGAAGAAGAGAAAGAGAGAGAAACATCAATGTGAGAGAGACACATCGAGTGGTTGCCACCCACATGACCCGAACTGGGGCCAGGGACAAACCAACCGAGGTACGTGCCCTTAGCGGGAACCAAACCCGGGTCTCTCTGGTCCGCAGGCCGACGCTCTAACTGCTGAGCCAAACTGGCCAGGGCCAGTCTAGGTCTTTTGACTTCCAGCAACAATGTTTTTCATTTTTAATAAAATTCAAGTTGTGTTCATTTGACTGTGCTCTACAGCATTTGTCTGTCAACTGGCTCCCGACAGGCACATAAACAAAAGCTAAAGACCAGTTCACAACTCTTACAGCATTGAAAACCACTGAATAGTGAAAAGATGGTTAAGTTTCCCAGATAATGGTTAAACCTCCTCAGATAACAGAAAGGTAATCCTTCTAACAAATACAAAAAACAAAAGGCTAGGTCAGTAGAAAGTTTTCTGAATGTTTAAAATGAATGGACAGTAACTGAGACTTTAAAGGAGCCTCAAAATGGCTTTGTTGGATGAAGGTGGAAAAGTTGCCTGTGACTCCCAACTACAGGCAAAAACAATCTTGAAAGAACAGGAGTTACAATCTCAATAAGCCAGAATAAGGAACGTATTCCTATAAACAGGCATTTGATATACATCACATCTTACTTAAACTGTGAATGAACTATTAAATGATGGAATGTTGAACGTTAGCCTTCCACTTGAGAAAGTTAATTTTCCAGCTATACAGTCAGCATTTTGAGTCATGGAATTTTTTAAAAATTATTACGGTTAAACACACACACACACACAAGATTTATCATCTTAACCATTTTTAAGTGTAGAGTTCAGTAGTGTTAAGTATAGTCACATTATTGTCAAACAGGTCTCCAGAACTTTTTCATCTTTTGCAAATCCTAAACTATACCCATTTAACAACAAATGTCCTTTACCCCTCTCTCCAGCCTGTTAACTACCATCCTATTTTCTATTTCTATGAATTTGGAAAATTATGAATTTAAAAAAGAAGAAACATTTATTGAGCCTCTGTTGGGCATTGTTCTTAATGCCTCGACCAAAAAAAAAAAAAAATCATAGAGGGTAGCAGAGAATCCCTAGAGGGTCTTTGTTACACTGGACCGGGAGATGTGTAAAGAGATAAATCACAATAAAAATCAATGTGTGTTAAGCCTTAAATGAGCAATGGCCACAGTAAAATCTGTGTGATGCTAACTATAGTGTTTATGCTGTTTTGCTCATTTTTGCTTCTGCCACTGTTGACCTTGCAATACTGAGGTACCCTGCGGGAAATGTGGGCTAGATAACCTGGGGATATGGGTCTCAGATTGTACTTGTTAACAATTACAGTGGTTATTAGTGAGGGGAAAGAAGATTGAGAAGCCTGGGGGGAAAGTGCAATGCAGAGAAGGGGAAAACCCGCTTGGTTTCTGCGTAGGCATTATATGAAGCTGGCAAGCAGCCTCTTTGAGTGCTCTCAATGTCGATTTGTAGAAACATTGTAGTAACATAGCCGTGAAAGGCTTCTCCTCCCCCCAGATAGCTACAGTTAATGTTTAAGTCAATTTAGAGGATACATAATGGACATGTGTTTCTTTGAAATGTCTTGGAAACCACTTTACAGGGTTCTGTATAAAATGCAAAAGAGCCCTGGCCAGTTTGGCCCAGCAGTTAGAGCATCGGCCTGCGGTCCAGAGAGACCAGGGTTCCATTACCACTAAGGGCATGTACCTCGGTTGCAGTTTGTCTCCAGCCCTGGTTGGGTTGTGCGGGTGGCAGCCACTCGGTGTGTCCCTTCACGTCGATGTTTCTCTCTCTCTCTCTTCCTCTCTCTCCCTCCCACTCTATCTGAACAAAAAATGGAAAAATGTCCTCAGGTGAGGATTAAAAAAAAGCAAAAGAATACAGTTGTCCCTCATTTATTGCGATTAATCTGTTCCAGACTCTAGAGGTTGTACCTGGTGTTGAAGGATTCCTGGAGTGCTCGAATACAGAGGCCTACAGTCCATACGTACAGTAATTTTAATTTTAATTGTAATACAGGGGTGTATAACTGACTCAAATAACCGAGCACGTGCTGTATCACTTTCACTGTCTCGATCAACTTTTTAATGAATATATTTGAAAAAATACGTGATAGAGTGAAGCTGCGAACGTCGAAGCGCGAAGTGGCAAGGAACAACTGTAGAAAAATCTAAAACAAAGCTGAGTAACCAGATGATGAGGATTTAGCAGATTGCAACCAATTTGTATCCACTAATAGGTTCCTTTAGCTACCTGGGGGGGCGGGGGCAGACAGGTGAGGGAGGGGTTGAATTTGGAGTGCTTGCCCAAGCCACAAATGACTTTCACATGCTACCTGTCAGGCCCAGTTGAGTGCTTCTTAACTTTGGTTTTAGATTAAAATTAATTACGTAAAGAGTTTTGAAAATTTCTAGTGCACAGACCTTTACCCTTGACCCATTAGATCAGAATCTCAGAATTTTGGGAAGGAAGTAGGCCTAGTTATGAGATTTGTTGTTGTTGTTTTTTAAAGTTCCCCAGGTAATTCTAAAGTGCATCCGGGGCTAAAATCATTTTAGTTATTTCAGTTGTAGCCAGTAAAATGCAGGGAACATTTATTTAAATGTATGTAAAATACTTCTTAACTGTATAATAAACATACAAGTTTTCCCATTTCTGCCCTCAAATAGATACGGTTTTGTTTGATTGGTTTATTGTTGTAATTTTTTCCTTTCTTTCTTTTTCTTTTTTTCCTTAGCCAGTTGCAGATTTTAAAGAAACAAGTGGAAGGGAGATGGAGGCAGACATTGTTAAGAGGTCCCACAGCCATCTTTAGGGACGGATGGGGCACGAGGGGTGGGAAACATTGTTTATATGTAGAAAATATAGCATATTCTCTATCTACATTATGTAACTTTGAGAAGATGTGAGCCATTTATGTCAAAATAATGAGGCATATAAGACATTGCATTTAACATGTGTGGGAATTCTTTGCAGAGTAATTAGCATTCCTTTCTTCAGCCTGCATTCAGAAGAAACATACCATTCACACCCTCTCTGTGTTCACATTTTCCAGGGCGTTGGAGAGCTTTTTTTTCTTTCTTTCAATAGAAATCTTTGTTCTTTTCCCAATAAGGCTTGGATGATAAGACTGGGACTATATTTGAAGAAATTTAGCGTGTCTTTCTTTTTCTGGCAGGAATTGATTTTAAAATCAGAACGATAGAACTAGATGGAAAGAAAATTAAGCTTCAGATATGGTAAGTAAATATATATATATATATATATCTATACACACACACACACACACAAAGTTTATACTTTAGTCAGGAATTGAACGTGGGAATAAAAATGTGCATTGTGATAAGTTAGAGGTATTTTGTGATAGCTAAAACATCTCTTCTTCATCAGAATCAAGGGGAAATGGGTATTCAAAGGTCTCTCCACCAAGAGTGGGAAGGTAAGGAATGGTATCACTCACTAACCCACAGCCAGAAGAGATCTGAGCACTCATTCTTCCCAAATGCTAATTTTATAGAGGAGGAAAGTAAATTCTAGAGTATAAATTACTTTTTGTTGTTGTTAATCCTCACTCAAGGATATTTTTTCCATTGATTTTTTTTTTTTTTTAATTTTTATTTTATGAGAGCAGAAAGGAGGGAGGGGAAGAGAGAGAGATAGAAACATCAATGTGAGAGAGACACATACCCCAACTGGAGCCAGGGATCGAATCTGCAACCCGGGTACATGCCCTTGACTGGGAATTGAACCCGATATCCTTTGGTGCACAGTCTGACGCTCTAACCACGAAGCCACAACGGCCAGGGCTACTTTTTTATTGTAGTTTCTGCAGCTGTGAAATCAGGTAAGGCTTAGTAGTCAAGTGGTAGGAACACTGAACAGAAAGTGCAGGTCTAGGTTCTAGCCAGGACTACCTCTAATTTGAGGGCATGGCCCAGTTGCTTCCCTTCTTAGAGCCAACTTTCCCTCATTTGTAGCTTCTTTCCGAGGATTTGTCTTTATTTTAGTTGTAATTCCCATTTGGTCCTGGGAGATCGTCTGTGTAGCTTCCATTCACTCCGCCTCCATTTTCACATCCTCTCCCCTCGTTTGTAAATTGATTGATTAGACTGATGGTATCTGAGTTGCTGCCCTCAAGTTCTGATATTTTATCACTTATTTGCATAATCTCATTAAATAAAAATATATAAGGAACACTGGACTAGGAAATAAGAAAGAAAAACATCGTACTTCTCATATCTCATGTCATAATATGCAAGGCAAAGATCTCCTTAAGGTCACCCAAACTGATTGGTTAGTTCCTGCAGAATCTCTCAAACTCCAGTGAGTAAATATGGTTCTTCCAGATTGCTAGGTTGAATATTTTTGGCTTGAACTAAAAAGTTCTTCATAGATTTTTTTTTTTTTTAACCTGTAAACTGGTTTAATGTCTTCCATGTCTTTCAGTATAGGACCTTCCATGGAGCCACATAGAATTGGAGCCATGGGACGGTTTTTGATGATGTTTACTGATCTAATGTGTGATCATGACAGCACCAGACATAGCTGAGAAATTTAGAGCTGTACATAGACTACAAAGGATAAAATAGTGAAATAATATATATGGTCTTATTTCTTAGGCTGTTTTTCTTCTTTGAACCTCAGAATAGGAATAGAATTAGAACATTGTATCGAAATTCACTACCACTTCTTTTACCAAGGAGGAAACTAGGCCTTAGAGTGGTTAAATTCATCTGAGAGCATATGTCTGGATTAGTGATAAAGCTTGAACAGCTACCCAGATCTCCTGGAACATCATGTCAGTTTCATATATTAGTATAGTGGTTCCCAGTACATGTCATTGGAAAACATTGTAGAGGTTACCACCAGCTACCCTTTTCATCTATTAGTATTAATAAGAAGCCAAATATTTTAAAGACATAAAACAGTTTTTTAAGGGAAAAGGAAAGAGAATTTCTGATTCTGTGCTGTATAGTTCTGATCATAGCAGTAGGAAGTGTTTCTAGGAGCCTGTGGGTGATCAGCTAATTAGAATTTAATATAACATCAGGGCACACTATTTATGGATACTCTCAGCAGCAAAATGGTTTCTATTTAGTCTTTAGGACCTACACTTAGTATGGTAGGGTTTCCCCTCCAGCCTCACTGGTTCTAAATCAAGTAGTGTATTAGAATGAAAATATGGTTGGTCTACTCAAAGATGCTTGGCTTGGCCTGGCTGGTGTGGCTCAGTGGTTGAGTATCAACCCATGCACCAAGAGGTCGCCAGTTCAATTCCTGGTCCGGGCACATGCCCAGATTCTGGGCCTGATCCCCAGTGGGGGGCATGCAGGAGGCGGCCTGTCAATGTTCTCTCTCATTGATGTTTCTATTTCTCCTTCTTTCTTCCTCTCTTCCTAAAATAAATTTTTTTAAAAAAAGATGCTTGGCTTGTATTTTTTCCCTTGCCAAACAAGTGCCCTGTGTAGCTAATTCCAATCAGTGGCAGAAGGGTTGGATAAGATCATTGTGAGGTGAGGCCTGGCCATGCACTAAACAGCCAAGATGTAGGTGGCTTGAGTCTCGTTCAAGGGTATGAGCTCATTCAAGGGTAGTGGCGGAACTGAGACGACAGCCCACCTGAGTCTGTTTCCTCTCCTGCAGAACAAGGATGATGGTATTACCACACGCTGGGCTGTGGTGGGCGTAATGTGGGAGTATCTTCTAAAGTATACACAACTATTAAGGGATTTATTAATGCTTTTAATCTATATTTCCTTTGGGCCTTCATCTCTTATTGGGGTTTGATATGCATTAGATGTCTAGTGTTTTTTCACAAATGCCTCTTTCTTCCCTACAGTTAAATTGTACAATTTAGTTTGTCTTAGTAGCACAGGGAGTGAATTAATTCTGCTGGTAAGTAGCAAATTTAGGAATACTGATTTCCCCAGATATCAAGGAAATTTTACCTGCTTTATAAGGATTACTTCAGTAAGTGTAATTGGAAACTTTTGTGTTTTTTAGAATATATTCTAATGGTACACCATCAGCTAAAATGCAAAAGTATATGAAAGCCTATGTAATTTTGCGGTGTTGTTCATATTTTAAAGTCTTTGGAAACATTGTCAACAGTTATGTGTTGAACTCCAGGTTCCCATTTAATTATGGGCTCCATAGCTGAAAAAGTTATTGAGGAACATGTTAGTGTGCTCGGCTGAGCAGAATTTACACAGTAGTAAGTCCAGCCCAGTTGCTTTTTTTGTACAGAAATCAGACTTTCACTCAAGAGAGCAAAATACCTTAATCATTAGGCATTTATTTAAAAGGATTATAACTACCTCTAGGAGTCCAAGAATTTAGAACTATTCTCTGTTCTCTCCCATATGTGTTTGACTAATACAATACGCGGTTCCTAGCAGGCCATGGGGTTTCCTGTTGCTGCTTTTATCATCAAGGTCCACGTTTTCACACAAGTCATTGTGAGCGCTTGACAGGCTCCCGTAGCCGCCACTGCCTCCAGCTCACACACACAACAGGCTCCCTTTGTGTCTTCCTCCCCTTCCCTGAAGTCCCTGCGTTTGTGAGCAGACCAGAATTCTCTCTCCTGTAGCTTTGGGGCTCTCCTCAGTAATGCTGGTGATGTCTTTTAAAACCACTCTCTCCTTTTGTTTAACATTTTAGGGACACAGCGGGTCAGGAAAGATTTCGAACCATCACGACAGCATACTATAGAGGAGCCATGGTGAGTGTGTTTAGGGGCTTTGTTACTCTTCAGGTGAAAGCAAAACATGAATATTCATTTGTCAAGTGTATAGAATTCAAGCTAAAGTCTGTACAATGGGGAAAATAGATTTTCTGATGTGAAAAAATGTTGTGTGTTTGGTAACTATATACTTTGTCACTGGTCTTCACAGTATTAAGAGGTATTGAGCTTGTAGGTATTTTAGAACTCCTCCATACATCATGAGTGATTGTATGGTTTTGTGATTTTTTTCTTTTCTGGGCCCAGCACACTTCCACTGCGCGACTCTGCTAATTTTTCCTTTTATGAATATCTTTGCCACATCTCAGCAAACTACAGGCCTTGTGACTAAGGATTCATTTCTTGCACTCTCTCATCCTTCAGCCCTGCCACGATTGTGCCGCATCTCTCACCAAGCCCACGTATCCCCTCTCGATGGCTCAGCTCTCTGGATTCTCCTCCACTGGTTGGCCAGGAAGTTGCTGAATGATATGTGACTCTTTGAGATTTAGAATCTTGTGAATCTTGACTACAAGTCCTTCTTTGCTACATGGTAGCTTTATCCTTGTTAGCATAACATCATCAGTTGGCTCATTTCCATCCTAGGGCTTTGTCTGTGCCACCCAGTTATATTGTTTGTTGGCTCAGAGCAGATTCCGTGTGTTGCTGTGTGGAGTATAGTGGTGAGTAAACAGCTTAGAAACAGAGCTGTACTGAGCCATGCCTAGAACATCAGGTCTGGACCAGGTCTTTATCTCTGGCTTCTTGGCCTAATCCAGGCAGGCACTAGTTGGAACTTTGAATTTTGATGAAACTCATTGTGCTCAGAGTCTTGGAAGGCTGAGCAGTTGAGATCATGAAGCTCAACCTAGTAGACTGTGGGGTACCAGCTGCCATCATACCCAGCTCATTGTTTGTTTGTTGTTTGTTTGTTTGTTTGTTTATTTAAAGACGTGTGTGCCTGGGAGTGGTGTCAGGGTGACAGAGATGTAGGAGTGATAGGTGTCCCCTTGTTCTCAGGAAGATGCGATCTAAATCCACAGAGCCCTTTATTATCCTGCTGCCCGCCCTTCCTCTTCCATCGCTATTCACATTCGATTATTTGAGTACTAGTAATGCATCCCCACAAAAATATTGGGGATTCCTTTTCAAAGTTCTGTCACCTCGGCATTATACACCACTAAGCATTTTATATATCTGTATTCCCCTCTCTTCACCCTATAATACTTCTACGATTGTGAAAGGTCATCATTTTAAGAAACATAGTTGTTAGCTACTCTCTATTTTGCTTAGATTATAATCAAAGGGAAGGGACTTATCTCATGTGCCAGGAAGAATTTTGTTTGTTGTTTGTTTTCCCCAGGAAGGATTTTAGGAATAAATAAGAACATCTTAGCAGGGGTGATTTAGATAGTTTACAGGTAATTTTGATTAGAAGCATCTTATAAATACAAGATTTTCTGTAGACCAGTTTATTATTTTCTAGGAGTGATACATTGATCCTACTTGCCTGCTTGTTTTGACTAGAGAGCGGGCAGGCACACTTGGAGCGGGCAGGTCTCCCTTGGATGTCTAGCTCTAGTTCATGGTGTGAGGAAAGAGGGTGTTGAAATGTTATTTAATTTAGATTTGCAGATTTCCTGTCTTTTTCATTTATCTACTGTCTAGTCTTTCTTCACTTTACTTCAAGTAATTAGAAATTGTTGTTATTCTAAGGTAGCATTGTGTTTTCCATTTTGAAGGTAGGGATTTTTGTCTTTTTTTTTTTCTGCTATAATGCCAGTTCCTGACACATAGTAGATGCTCAATAACTACTTGCTGAAGGGGTGAACCAGTGGAAAATTTCAGACCTAGAAACAATCTTAGATAAGACTTCAGGAAATCCTGCTGTATTCAGCCGTGGATCTTGCAGGTCATCTGTTCCAGTGGGCTGTGGGGCCATCGTGTTCTTGTGGGGCATGTTCTCATTTCAGCTAATGGTGGTTCTGGCAGGTGCAGTGGGGTTGGGTTAGGTGTGCAGCGTGTTGGCGAGCACTGCATTGGAGTCTGCCACAGAGTCTTTTGGTCTTTTTCAAGCTATTTAGCACCATTCATAGGCATAGCAGCCCTGATGGACAGTTGGACCTTTGGAGAAAAGGACCATATCATTGCATTATCAACATTTCTCATAGATGAACATTTTCCTGAGGACTCTAAGGAGCCCAGTAATTCCACTTCTAGGAATATATCCTAAGAATCCCAGAACACCAATCAGAAAGAAAATATGCACCCCTATGTTCATAGCAGCATTATTTATAATAACTAAGAGCTAGAAACAGCCCAAATGCCCATCAGTAGATGAGTGGATTAAAAAACTGGTACATTTACTAAGCCGCTGTAGAAAAGAAGGATCTCTTATCCTTTGCAGCAGCATGGATGGACCTGGAGAGTATTACGCTAAGTGAAACAAACCAAGCAGAGAAAGACAAATATCACATGATCTCACTTATTTGTGGAATATAATGAACAAGATATATAAAGTTTTAACTAGTATACTCGAGTTTGTATTTCCCGCTGATTCAAAATATCAGTTTGGTTACATAGGAAATAGCCAAACTGTTTCTGCTATTGAATCAAAGATATAAATTAAAAACAGCTGCCATTAATTGAGTCCAAGCTGTGTTCTGGGTTCTAGGTTAAGTACTTTATACATAATATCTCAGTAGATTCTCAAAAGAATCCAGTGTGGAAAACAAGCTGTCCTCATTTTACAAATGAGAAAAGGAGCCTCAGGGATAAAATTACATCCTGGGATCTTTGAGGAGATGCTTCTTGACTCCAGAGCCTATGTCCTTAACCACTACACTGTGTTCACACTTCCTGTGCTAACCATCCAGAGTGCCACTGACAAACAGGAGGCAGTGAAGACCGAGGTCGCCCATATAGCCCAAAGGGTCGAAGAGCTATGGCAGTTATTTATTAATGTTAGTATTATAGGCAGCTAAATACTTTGAATCAGGAATTATTCAGATTCCATTTGAGGGTTCTTTTTTTTTTTTTTGGTGGTAAAATATACATAACATAAAACTGACCATTTAAATGTACAGTTGTCCACTTTGATTTTTTTTTTTTTTTTACAGGATTCTTTTGAGAATATACTGAGATAATTATGTATAAAGTACTTAACCTAAATACTTTTCTTTACTGTGTATCCAAAATGAAATGTTTGCATTTCAGGCTGGGAGGAGGGAGGATAGAGGATATCAGTTTGTCATTTAAGCAATAATATTGATTTTTCTGGTTGTCAAAAGGTTAGGTGTAGTGTAGAAAACTTTGAAAATCCCAAGAAATCATCCATAATTGCACTACCTTAAGATAGCTTCTGTTAACATTTCATTGTTTCCTGGATTCTTTTATCTATGTGTACATGTGTTTTTTATATTATTTATTTTTACATTTATTTACTAAGTTGGAAGCCAGACCCTGAAGGACAATGCCCATCATGTTAGGAACTTTTACTTTAATCATGAGTACAATGGAGAGGTGTCCATAAAATGGTAACTCTGGTGTCCTTGTGGATTAGAGGTGGTTAAGAATGAAAGCAGGGGGACCAACTAAAGACTATGACAGTAATCCAGGTAAAAGTTACTTGCTGAGAATATGAATAAGGCCATTCATGTGTGTGGGGAGGGTGGGGTCATATTCTGGGACTATTGAGGCTGTTGGTCCTGCAGGACTTAGTGACTGTGAAGGAGATGCTCCCAGGGGCCTGCTCGGGCTAGCTGGCGGGGACAGAGGGAGCCTCATGTTTTACTTACTTGAGTTTTCAGTGACCACAGAGGACATCTGGGAAGCAATGTCCAATTACTGGTTTCCAAGTCACAGCTGACCGCTGTCTGTCTCTTTGGCCACATCTTGTGCTCTTCTCCCATTGGACCTGTGCACTGTTGCCAAGCTGACTTTCTTTCAGCCCCGGAGGTTCTGGGCCTTCCTGGTCAGCAAGATATTTATACCGTTTCTCCTCTGTGCCAGGCCCTGTGCTCTTTCCCTCTTCACCCAAGCCTCCGCCCCTTTGCCCACTTCGGGTCTGCTCAGACCTCAGGCCTTGGCCTTACTGTCATTTTCTCAGGGAAGCCTTTCCTAACCACTCAGCCCATCAGCCAGATTAGATTAGCATTTGTATTCAGAGCTCCTCGTTCTTCTTTATAGTGATTCTCAAAATTATAATTGTATAATTATTGGATTATTGTTTTTGTGAGAGAAGGGGGCCTTGTCTATCATGTTCACTGCTGGGAGTACTTAGTGTAGTATCAGGCAGATAGGAGGTGCCCACTAACTATTTGCTGACTGGGGAATGGGCAGGTGGATCTAGCACTTAACACAGGAGTGTGGTCTGGTGATACAGATTTTGGAATATTAGCCTACAGGCATCAGTTGAAACATTTAGCAGATAAACCCTTTAGAAGCACCAGCTGTGGGATCTTTAAAAATATGATGACAATGCCTTTCATTAAACTTGTATTACAAAAGTATTATACGTGTCTGTGATTTACTTAGACAGATGTGACATTTTGATGAGCCTGTATAAAAATAAATAATTTTAAAGCAGTATGGTTACAGTTTTAGTGTAGGAGTAAGAAGCTAGACAGTTTCTACTTGGAATAAACAAGCGCACGACAGAAGTGATCGCCTCTTACTCTCAATGCCATCTCTGTTTAACTTCCACGTCTTTCAGCTCCGGTTGGTGCTGATTCTTATCATGTGAGGTCAGGGAGAAAGGGTGTATCATCTTTACCATAATCACTAATTCATTAAAGGTTAACAGTGAAAATGTTAACAGAGTATTTATTTACATGGCAAGACAGTGGAAGAATCTATTTATTTATTTTTGCTTCTCCGTACTTTAAATATTATTATTAATCCCTTTTATAAAGATAAGAAAAGAAAAGAAGAAAAGAAAAACCTCAAACAAAAAAACAAAAGGTTTCTGGAAGGAAGGAGTACATTTACATTATATTTCACAGCTTTAAATACATACAGTACTAAATAAAGATCATTTTTCCTCCTACAGGGAATTATGCTGGTCTATGACATCACAAATGAAAAGTCCTTTGACAATATTAAAAATTGGATAAGAAACATTGAAGAGGTATGTATGAGAAGGGAATGGTGGTGCTGGAGATCATCATGACGACGCTGGGAGAGACGCAGGGCAGGGGCCGGCAGGACCTCGCTCTGAGGAGCACCAGGGAGGGCGAGATCTCCCCTCTGCCCGTCTGACTGCCCTGCTGAATCGGGGTGAGGGGTGCAGAGGCAGACAGAGGAGCAATTTCACAGAATTCTAAATTTGGGCCAGATCTTGGAAATAATTTAATCTAAGTTCCCATTTTACATGTGAGAAAACTGAGGCCAGAAAAAAGTAACTTACCCTTGCTAATATACACTTTAAAAAGAAAAGCCTAGCCCTGGCCAGTGTGGCTCCATTGGTTGAGTGTTGTCTTGTGCACTCAGAGGATGCAAGTTCCATTCCGGGTCAGGGCACATACCTGGGTTGCGGGTTGTGGGTTTTGGGCTGGATCCCCAGTGGGGAGTGTGCAGGAGGCAGCCAATCCATGTTTCTCTCTCTCTTTCCCTCTCCCTTCCGCTCTCTCTAAAATCAATAAAACATATTTAAAAAAAAAAAGAAGAGCCAGGATTAAAACATCTGATTCCTGGGTTCTATCTGTTTCACCATCTGTTTGACTTGCAAAAAATAAATCTTCATTCCAGCAACTTATCATTTTGCCCTTCTAACATTTTCTTAATCTTATACATATATATTTATATATTTTTTTTATCCTCACCCGCAGATTTTTTTTCATTTTTTGTTCAGATAGAGTGGGAGGGAGAGAGAGGAAGAGAGAGGGAGAGAGAAACATCGACGTGAAAGGGACACATCGAGTGGCTGCCACCCACACGACCCAACCAGGGCCGGAGACAAACTGCAACCGAGGTACATGCCCTTAGCGGGAACCGAACCCAAGTCTCTCTGGACCACAGGCCGACGCTGTAACCGCTGAGCCAAACCAGCCAGGGCCATTTCCTCCATCTTAGATATTTGAAATTTGGTTTAATTCCAGATTGATTAGCATTAAGATTTTATGTCTTTGACATTTCAGAAAGAAAGCTAACTCAGAAGTGATTTTGTACACATTAACCTACATGAATTCATTTCTTAAGTAATTCAGAATCCAAAATACCTTCTCCATTGGCTCACTCAGTACCCAGTTTTTTTTTTCTTCTTTTACTCAAACTAGTATTTGGAAGTTTTATTGTTAGGTAACCATAAGTTTTATTTCTGTTTGTTCACGTACAAAAAGACAGGAGAATGACTGCGAGCCTTTGGGAAGCAAGTCTGCATGGCCTCTTAGACTGTAGCTTTTCCCCTCCTCCCATCTTTTAAATTTTCCTCTGAGTCGTGCTTTGTGTCGAGTGAAAGATTATTTGTCTTAATTATTGAAGTCATGAGTATGTTAGGATTTGTCTATTGAATAACTGTGTCTTCCTCAGGCTGTTTTTATAACATACTATGTTCTCCTTGCAGCATGCTTCTTCAGATGTTGAAAGAATGATCCTGGGTAACAAATGTGATATGAATGACAAAAGACAAGTGTCCAAAGAAAGAGGGGAGAAGGTAAATTTGAACTGAATGCATAAATATTCTGATCTACTCACGTTAAACATTTATTTTCTTAGTATAATTGTTGATTTAAGTTTTTAAAATATCTATATTTTAATCCTTTAAAAACAACAGAGATGTAATCCATATTTGAATGGTACAAATTAGTATTCGAGATGCAACTCTATATATTATGTAGTCATGACTCAGTCCTAAAGAATTTGCTCTTTTCTGGGAGATACAAATTGGTTCTTTTTCAGATTCCTACAGCTTTGAGTTCAGGCTGTTTCTTCCATATCTGTGTGAAAATGCCCAGTTTTAAAGTTAAAATAATTGTATTCTCTTTGGAAAAAAGTAATAGGATAAGTGAAGTTCAACAGTAATCATTTTCCAATTCATTCTTTTTTAAGGAATATTTTACTACACATTAAATTTAGGTCATTATGGATAAACTCTTTGTAATTCATCAAGTTATGGATGTCATTTATTGGTCATTTATAGGCATTTCTCTATTTTGTGTCCTGTCCTGCAAAGCAAAGGAGTTTATTATATGTGTATATTTACGTCTATGGCATTTTCTAAAACAATATAGAGGCTTCAATGTTTACATCTTTGCTTTAGCCTTTTTTATATGACACATGGTTTTCAGTCTGAAACTTTTTTCCCCTAAAAAGTTTCTCTTAATCTTATTGTTATAAATGACTGGGAACTCTGGGAAATATGGAAGAGTTCCCATTTGTCACAATTAATAGAAACCAAAGCAATGAATACTTAGTATTTTAAGCTTTTCTGTTAAGCACCAATTTATTAAAAAATAATGAAAAGTCAGCATAGCCCTGGCCAGTTTGGCTCAGCGGTTAGAGCATCGGCCTGCGGTCTGGAGAGACCCGGGTTTGGTTCCCGTTAAGGGCACGTACCTCGGTTGCAGTTTGTCCCCGGCCCTGGTTGGTCGTGCGGGTGGCAGCCACTCGATGTGTCCCTTCACGTCGATGTTTCTCTCTCTCTCCCTTCCTCTCTCTCCCTCCCACTCGATCTGTACAAAAAATTGGAAAAATATCCTCGGATGAAGATAAAAAAAAAAAAGAAAGAAAAGTCAGCATAGTAAGTGTTGGAGAATTGCACTTTAAGAGCAGATAAAGGAGGTGAACGAATCCCAAATTAGTGGTGGGGAGGTGAGTGTCTGTCACAGTTTTTCTTGTAGGAATATTAGAGAACTCAAAGTGTAATAGGAAAACAGAGAAGTACTTCGATGGTGTTTTGGGTGGAAGTGGTGCCACGTTACTGACGACGGTGAAGTGAGATGTCTCCGTTCCAGACACAACAGAAGAAAGCAGAGAGATTTGAGAACCTCAGGAATTCTGAACTAGATGCTCTACCTTTGGGACTTTGAAAAACTTAGGAAATATAAATACTTTATATGTTCAAGCGATGTGCACTGTACTTAAATGTTTCTGTTTGCCTTTCAGTTAGCAATTGACTATGGGATTAAATTCTTGGAGACAAGTGCAAAATCCAGTACAAATGTAGAAGAGGTAAGAAAGAGAAATGTTCGGTGAATTGTTCTGTAGTAGTACTTGCACCTACCTGCCTATGTTCAGGCAGTTCCCAAAGCCTTGTTTTCGTGTGACTTCGCGAGTGCCTTGTGTGAACGCCGCCTCCGTGTTGAGAACTTCTGTGCTTCTGACTTTTCTGTGGACCCTGGTCGTGGACTCCCAGCACCCAGCCTCCACGTGGAATGTATTTGGTTGCTCGGTTAAGATTCACTGAACTGAAGATAGTCGCTCAGTTTAAGTTCACTTTTGCCCTGTATTTGGGAAGGTGGAAATCCTTCACCAGCCCACCAAGTGCAGCGTCTTCCTCTGCTCATTTATCATCGTCCGTGTCACCCTGTAGTAGCCTGCAGCAGGCGAGTCTTAATCACTTTCGTGTCTCTGGGTGAGACAGTATTAAACTGTTAGCTTATTGAACAGATTCCCTTAGTGCACATGTTTAAGCAGATTAACATGATACATTAACACAATGTCATTTAGAATAAATAAGAAAGTGTTTATCAGAGAGTACTTTAATAAATTTTCAAACAGTACTTTGACTGTTAAAGAAAACCAAATCATCTAAAGTCTTCTAAGAATAGATTTTCTTTACCAAGGGCAGAATTGTTGATAATATTTTCTTTTTAAAAGCTGGTCATAAAAATATTACATGTAATATGTTTTAATACATGTAATTCACTTAACAGCGATACTGATGATTTCATAAACATTTAATTTCTTAGGCTACTCACTGTTCACCATATCATCATGGCTAAAAATTGAGGCTTAAATGACATTATTGGATAATAGACACTGATGAGAACTTTTTATGTGTGTTTTAAATAACTAAAACTCGTTTTTTCAGGTTGGCTATAATTGGTGTTAGGAAACAGGAAGTCTCTCATTTAAGCATGGATAAGCAGAAAAATGCTTCCTTCTGCTTGCCACAAAAGGATTTCCTTCCATCAGAAAGAGAGGAACTTCTTAAGTCAGCTTTAATGGTGGAGTCAGGGGAGCTTGTTATCTGAGATGGCCCACATACGGTTTCTCCCGCAGAGTGAACTCGGAACCCTGGTTCCTGGAGCAGGCAGGCTCCAGTCTCTGTTAGTACCTGGACCCTGATCGCACCTGTGGCTCAGGGAGAGCTCTGAGTTATGGAAATGTAGAGCTGGGAGCTGCCCGAGCTGCTTATTCTGGCCCGTATATTCTGCAGGAGTTAGCAGTTTTCCCAGAGCTTTAACCTAGTGTGGTTAATTTGCCTCATGAAAACTAGGATGGGCTTGTTTAGAAATTTAGACTCACAGGTGACCAGTGTGACAGTGAGACACCGACAGCGAGTGATAATAATAGTTACTGTATTGTTTCTGTTTGACTTGATTGGAAAGAATCCTCTTGCTGAATATTTTTGGAGGCATCAAGCACAGTTGGGAACAAAGAGACTGACATAACAGTGGGTTTCGCATGGAGACAACTAAAGAAGCTTTCAGAGTCTTGGCTTCCTAGAAACAAAGTAGGGATGATAGGGCTAAGAAATATTTGGTTTGGGTCACAAGACACTGGGCATAAAAATGTCACTGAGATGAATCAGATTTGTCCTGCTACATTTGAACTGATTTCCACGGTGGGGGTTTAACTGAGCTGCAGGTACTGTCGGATTTGGGAATGTCAAGGTTTTATATATTCTCAGGTATAACAGTGAAAGTGATTTGAAAGAGAGGACATTGGGAATAAAAGGCAGCGATTTGTACAAACAGACTTTAGAGCCAAAGGGTAAAACATTTATTCATCCACTTATTAAACAGATGTTCAGCATCTCCTAGCCCAGAACTGTGCCGTACTCCGGGTATGCAGGGGTGGCTTAGACAGAGCCGCTGCCCCCAGGTGCGCTGGGTGTTCAGAAGAGGCTGTGCATAACTAAAGTGTCATATTAGGAACTTGGGCCAGATATTTTGTGCAGAAAATATCTGATGAATGAAATGACAGTTTTATAAGACTGGAAAAGGTTTGTGATAGAATTGAAAAATAAGATAAAATAGGCACATGTGTACTATGATTACAGTTATGTTCTTTTCTCAATTAAAAGCTTTAAAGTAATATATTTATTACTTGTAATAATGAAAACATTCTACATTTCTATTTTAAATATAAATATATAATAATGCAATTTTTTGTTTACCTTTAGGCATTTTTTACACTTGCGCGAGATATAATGACAAAACTCAACAGAAAAATGGTTTGTATCACTTATAATTTTTATTTCTATTATGCTGTTTGTAAATGTGTTTTATTAATGCTGTGTATTTATTTGATTAAAATGATAGACTTGCCCTGGCAGGTTTGGTTCAGCGGTTGGAGCGTCGGCCCGCGGACCAGAGAGTCCCGGGTTCGGTTTCCGCTAAGGGCATGTACCTCGGTTGCAGTTTGTCCTCAGCCCTAGTTGGGGTTGTGTGGGTGGCAACCACTTAATGCGTCTCTCACATCTCACATGTCAATGTTTCTCTCTCTCTCTTTCTCTCTCTCTCGCCTTCCCTCCTCTCTCTAAGATAAATGCAAAAAAATGTCCTCAGGTGAGGATAAAAAAAAAAAAGGATAGGCTTGATTATAATATATTCACATTAACTCATTTTTTTTTCCTGACTCATATTCATTCACCTGATTGAACTTTGATTTTTTTCTTTTTAATTGATTTTTTTTTTTTTTTTTTTTTTTTTTGAGAGAGAGAGAGAGAGATTTGTTGTTCCACTTATTTATTCCTTCATTGGTTAATTCTTGTATGTGTCCTGACTGGGGATAGAACCCGTAACCTTGGCATATGATGACGGCGCTCTGACCAGCTGAGCTACCCAGAGAGGACTGAACTTAGATTCTTATTTATGTTTCTTCAGGTTTTCTTATTTCTGAACTGCAGCTATTTTAGTTCTTTCTTCTGTCTCTTTAAATGGATGTTAATTGAAGTTTGATTCAAATAATTAAAATAATAATGGCACAAATTAAATTTTTGCCATAAAATTTTCTAGTTTCGTTTTGATGTGACATATTTATATCTATATATAATTATCATCTTGAAGTTGCTAAAGTTTGCTTAAATTTGAAACAATCTCAGTGATGAATCATTAGGACAACCTTGAAAGTTTAGTTTAACCTGAATCCTGAATTTAATTGTATACCTTATGTTACCAACTCTTCTTACCTCTAACAACAAATTGTTGCCAATAGCTTAACATTGTTTCTATCATTACCCTTGAAACTTCACACCCCTTGGCAGTAATTTCTTTGAACTGGAAACTGGAGCTTCCTAACTGGTACTAATATGTGTAAAAATTTTTCTCCTTTTAATCCACCATTTCCAAAAAAATCAATAATATCAGAGCTTAATTAGCTTCTTTTTAAATAAAATACTCTACTGAATACACATTTATGGAATGGTTTGATATTGTTAACATTTTTTACATAATTGGAGTCAAGCCATGAAACTTCTACTTTTTCTTGACAACTTTATCTTCTGTTTTCTAGAACGACAGCAATTCATCAGGGGCAGGTGGACCAGTGAAAATAACAGAAAACCGATCAAAGAAGACCAGTTTCTTCCGGTGTTCACTACTTTGATGAACTCTTTCTGAGAGACTGCAGCACACCTAGAGGACCCTTTCCTGCTTCTCGGAAAGCACAGGTCACCCAGCCTCAGAATCACACCGCCGGCTGCTGCTGAGAGCACCACTGGACCTAGACCTCTCGATACAGAATGTCAAGTGGATTCCAGCCTCATGGCCTCTCACGATAACAGGCTCCTGTTTTCAAACATGGAAGCAATGAAATGGAGACACATGCAAGACTTGTTTTTTCTTTGTTTTATTACCTGTTGCAGAAGCTGCTATCTTTCTTTTTCACTTTGCACATCAATGTTAGCACAGTCTTAGACTCTTACGTGCACACTTTTGTCTCATGAAGTTCTAGAGAAATTTGTGCTTTGGGGGATGTTTTAAAAAAGAGTAGAACATTTAAAACAGAGGTCAGTGTACTAAAATTAAGGGACATTTGGTCTGGTTCATATGACAGATGTTACTGCATTCACAGCATTTATTTAAGGGCTCTGATTTGTTATTTTCTTAAATAAGAATCATTAAATTCTGATAAAAAATTTATCTTAAAGATTCATGAATGTCCATCTATTTATCAGAGGCCATAATTTTTTTTCATTTCTTATTGTTTAGCGCTTCGCTTCATTCCTGACCTTTTGTCAGAGTCTGGTTAGCTGAATAAATCACTTTTCAGTTGATTCCCTCTGCCTAATCTATAAAAACTGCATTTGGAAATTATCTTAATCTCACTTTTCCTGGGGTTCTTATTTGCTGTCTTTTCCTAGGTTTGACCTATTGTAATCACTCAGTTATCTAAAACATAACATATTTTACCATTATTGTCTGTTTCTAGTTGTTAACTCTTGAGCTGAAATTTTACATGGGCAGAGAGATGTGCCATTTAGGGTTTTATTTCAGCGTCTAATCCTGGTTCCGTCATATTAGCATACATAATATATTTTGTCTTAGGTTTACTCCTCAGCTGGTTTAGTTGTAATACCCAATTCCTACCATAATCCCTGTGTACAGAAGTTAACAGGAGTCAGATTTAGAGTTTAGTTCACAGAAAGCCTACCTGTAGGAAAAGAGATAACTTGTTAACATAAAGTTAGTAGAGATAGCTCTTGGTAATGGTGAAAATAATGAATTTTGTTCTGTTTTTACATGGGCTTAAAAAAAAAAAAAATTAGACCTAGTGCAGCCTCTAGGAAAAGTCTTGCCTTTTGATTAGAGAAAATATGAACGAGGCTTCAGTTTTAGAACAGCCGTTGTTGAATGTGTAGAACCCAGCTCCATCTGTTTAGGTTCGTTGTTAGAGAACTTGGTCCAGTCCTTTCCCACTGGACCCTGGTACTGGCATGCCTTTTGAAGATGAGACCATCACATAGGAAAAGAAAGGTCTTCAGCGTTAACTGTGTGCCAAATTAACATCATTATGTCACTGCTGTTATTCCTGCCTTCAGTGTCATAACACAGAGGGAGTAACAGAGAGGTGATGAAGGAAATGAATTCTGTTAATAATTATTCTTCCTCTTAGGCCTGCTTTGTTCACAGAGTTTACCATGATGCTTGAAATAAGAGTAGGAAATGGAAGTGGAAACGGACTGCTTGTTACCACAGAGAATTCTGCTTCGAATTAAGACGTACCATTAGGGTGCTTGAACCATCAGCCTTTATGACTTGTGTGAAAACTTATGCACAGTTTAGCTGCAGCAAATATTCCAGAGCTGTTTTTGATGGCTACACTAAATTTATTGTTAACAAATTTCAGCCTTCTTGTTTTTCGTTTTGTTTTTGTTTTTAACTTATCTATAGGTTTAAAGGCACCCGTTGGTGTCCCAGTATAATCAAGAGGTTCCTTGATTCAAAGCTGATTGTAAGTCTACCATCTTAAAATTAGATACATTTTTGGAAACAAAAAACGATTTCTTAGAAACATCTTGTATTCATTAATTTTCTGAAAAAAGATCCAAGCAGTTAAGCTTTCTGGAGGGTAACAAAGTAGTTTCTAAAAGGCAAGTGCTATGACACCATGTATGAATGTAATTCTCTTAGTAATTTACCTCTGACTATTTGGTGTCTTAACACTTTGGTTTATATCTCAGGGGTTATCTGCAAACCAAAACTGACATATTCTGTGGTTAACTTTTTATTTTTAATAGAATGCTTTGCTTTTGTTTTATTCCTTCTCTCTTCTTTTGTCTTATATGGATTAATTACTAGTCTCCATGAACTTCCCTTTGAAAGAGCCTGTAAAAGCTGGATGAGTCTAACAGTGCTCTTTGAAGTAGCAGCAAATTGGGGGTATATGCTCTGTTATATAGAAATAAATCGTCCTTGCTATTTTCTTACATTTAGTCTTGCTAAATTGTATATAATTTGAGCTAAGAACATAGGAAATTCACCTTCTGCATGACAAAATGACCCAATAAATATTCCACTTTGCTTAATAATGTACATATAGTGTGTTATTTTTTCTATTTGTAGATGAATTTAGTGAGAGATAATTGTCTGTTCCCTGCTGAAATGGAAGAAATCTAGTTTTGTGTGAACATTTTTGTGGTCTTATGGATCAGGTACATGAAGATTTTTGCAGCAGTATTAGTGGTATTCAGTGGCTGCACTTTATTATCAGTGTGCTCCTTTCTGCCGGTGATTGGACTAGACCTTTTAAAATAGAGTTTGAGGGCATCAGACAATGAAAATGTGCTGTAACTAAGTAGCATGTAAATCAGTTGATTATAAAATGTTTCACTGGGAACTTATTTTAGCTCTATTTTACTTCAGACAGATTATGAGAAAATAACCCACCTGTGCATCAGTTAGGAGGTGCTGCAGGGTTTCTTACTATTTACATGAACATTTTGTGCAGTCTTTGTTATAAATTTTCAGAAGACTATACTCTTTATTTTGAAGGACTATTTTTAATTATACCTCATTTAGCTAACTAGCATTCAAATACCTGGTAGAAAAACAGTGAGCCAACCTTTAAGCATCCAACACAATTTAGATTATATGCTTTGTTTTGAAATAAAGGCATTATTGGGAAAGGTAGGAGGTAGTTTAGAATAGAACATACATGTCATATCCAATAGTGCAAGAAAGAAGTATTATCTCCCTTTCTCCATTAATAAATTTAGCTGTGCAATATAGATAAATGTTTGCAGACATTTCTAATAAGAGATTATAACTCCATTTTACAGTTTCTAATGCTGAGCATCTGTATTAAGGCTTATATAAAGTTTTTCCTGTAAACAGTAAGTGATAGATTTAAGGAGACTTTCTTTTCCGGTTTATGACTTAGATTTCTTTAGAAATTTAGTTCTTAATCTTTACAAATGAGCTTCTAAGTTTAAAATCTTAAAGCAGCACTTCATTATGTTGGTTTACTTGTCTCAGATTTTAAGCAGTCATTCCTGCTGTCAGGTTTTTTAGAGTTTTTCTCTTAACAGAAAGTACATTCCTTTTTCCTTCTTGTTACAGCTGAAGAAGGGGGAGGCTAAAAATGAAATCCCTCGTCACAGAGAAACCTAGAGAGACAGGATATGCTAATAAAATTTCAAATGCTAGCACAATATTACAGTAGAATCAATCTTTTTTTTAAAAGGACTAATAAAATTAATGGGTGTCATGCTTACGATGAAAAAATCTAAATGACTGAAATTTACAGAAATGAAAATTAGCAAATAATTATTTTAGGGATATTTTCTAATTTTACTCCATTTTTTGAAATACTTGTATGATACGCAATTGCATTTCTTATTGCCAAGAACTAATAGAACTTCTTGTTTTATTTTCTTACCGTTTTTAAAAATGTGAATTTAATTATTAGAATTCATTCCTATGGCCTTACAGATGAGTTTTATTTTGTTTGTACCTGATACTGCAGGTCCTTTAATGCAAAATACCATAAACTGTTTGACTAAAATCATGCCCCTAATGGAAAATATCTAGTTTTTTCATAGAATTATCCTACTGTGTGTATTTTGGTGTATTTTATTTTTGCTCCAATGGCTTAATGTGAAAGGCTCCTGCAGATAAAGTGGACCTGTTATGTGGTTAATCTTGTTTAAGCCAATTCATTAACTGTGTACTGATACTATGCTGTGTTTTGGGTTTTTTTTAATGGATTTTATTCCAGGTGAACTTTTTTTTATAATAATGTTCGTCTAAAATAAAAACTACATAATGAAAATACTCATGACTCTCTGAAATGAGTTTCACATTTTGAAAATCCTTCTTTAAATTTATAGGTGTGTGACTCAAACCATGGCCAACTTGGGACATTTAAGCAAACTTCCTGACTTAGAGTTGTTTAAAATGGCTAGATCTCCTGTTCATACTCCGTTCAGAATACATTGAACTAGAACTACAGCCTTAAGTTGAACATCCCTCCCTTCTTAGCCTTGCAGGTTTACTTTCTGTTGTTTTGTTTTCACTTCCAAATAGCATGGTTCAAGGGCCCTGACCCTACTTGTGTTCTACCCTGAGCTTGTGCGTATCTCCTACCGTGGCTTTTCCCATTCACCCCGCAACCACTTCCAGCCTTCACTGTTCTTCTCAAGCGTTCTGCTTCTTTCCTTTCACTCTTGGTAGACAGACCTTCCATCTCCTGCCACACAGAAAAGCATCCGTCTGAAACCACCTTACCTGCCTCTCGCTCCCCACCCTATCGCCTCCATGGCTGGCTTCGTACAGCTACCTCGTGCTCACCTCCCTCCTCTGGTGCAGAGGCATTCCTCCTAGTCTGAGCTTCTCTCTGCCTCTTCTCTGGGTTCATTCCCCTGCACCTCCATCCTGCTTCTCAGGGGACTCAGCTCTTCACCTTCAAATTCTTACCGTGTGTGATCCCTCTCCCCTTGGCATCTAAGCGTCCCTAACTCTCCCACCCCTTTGCCTCAGCCCCCTCTCACCTACTGCTGTTTTTCCTCTTCTTGCCAGAGCTAAGCTTCTTCAAAGGGTTGCCTATAAACGCCGTCTTCCTTTTCTCATTTTGCATTTATTCCTCAGCCTCCTGCAGTGTGGCTTCCTCCTATCACTTCACTGACATCGTGTTTACAACAGTTACAACAGCCCAGTTGCGAAAGTAGCTTATGGTTTTCTGTCCTTATCTTAGTTAACTTCCTGGCAGCATTTGACTAGTATATTGCTCCCTCCCAGAAATGTTCTCTTCCCTTAGCTTCTGTGACAAGCTTCCCCACTTTTCCAAAGTAATTTCATCTTTTTTCATGGCTCTTAAAAATGTGCTTCTGCCCTGGCTGCTTTGGCTCAGCCGTTGGAGCGTTGGCCCTCGGACCAAAGAGTCTCGAGTTTGATTCCTGGTCAAGGGTATGTACCTCGGTTGCAGGTTCTATCTTGGGCCCCAGTCAGGGCCCCAGTGTGGGAGGCAACCAATGGATATGTCTTCTCGCACTGATGTTTCTCTCTCTCTCTCTCTCCCTCCCTCCCACTCTATCTAAAAAAGAAAAGAAAAAAATCAATCGAAAAATCATCCTTGAGTGAAGATTAAAAAAAAAAGTGCTTCTGTGGTAGGCTGAATAATGGCCCTCAAAGATGCCCACCTTCTAATCCCCAGAACCTGCAAATGTTATTTCATTTGCAGATGTGATTTTTTTTTTCTTTATTGATATTTAGAGAGAGGAAAGGAGAGGGGGGAAAGAGACAGGAACATTGATGAGAGAGAATATCGATTGGCTGGCTCCTGCATGCCCCCCACTGGGGATTGGGCCCACAACCTGGGCATGTGCTCTGACCGGGAATCGAACCGGTTACCTTCTGTAGCATGGGTTGATGCTCAACCACTGAGCCACACCAGCTGGGCATGCAGATGTGATCTTGAGATGGGAGATTACCCTGGATTATCCAGGAGTGCCCTATGTAATCCCAAGGGTCTTTATGAGAGGGACACGGGAGGAGTCGGAATTCAAAGGAAATGATGTGAAGACGGGACGGAGAAAATGTGTGATACAGGGCTATGAGCCAAGGGATGTAGGTAGCCGCTAGGATCTGGAAAAGGTGAGGGAAGAGAGTTTCCCCTACAGCCTCCAGAAGGCACCAGCCCAGCCCTGACACCTTGATTTTAGCCTGGTAAGACGCATTTCATAATTCTGACCTTCAGAGCTGTAAGAGAATAAATTTGTGTTGCTTTAAGCCACTACATTTGTGGTAGTTTGTCGCAGCGACAATAGGATATTTATGCAGCTTTCGAATTTGTATCTTTAGCCCCCACTTCTTTCCAAAGAGCCAGACTTCCAAGTCGATCTGCCCTTGGATCTGCTACAGTAACGTCAAACAACATGTCTCTAGCTCAAATTTAGCTCTCCATTTTCCCCCCAGCCCCAGCAATTCCCCTGTGGCCCTCAATTCCAGGAGAAACTTGTTCTTTCTCTTCTCTTCCCCATCACAATAGGTCATCTTCCTAGATCCCCAAACAGTTAACCTCCATCTTATGGGCTCTAACGCCTTCATCTTTCTAATCTGTATGGCCATCCTTTGACTTTGTTCAGGCCTCCTCATCTTTTGCCTAGATTTCTGCAACCTCTCCTAACCAGCATCCCAGTCTCTAATCTTATTCTGCTCCAATCCAATTTAAACAGTGCGGACAGGTTTTAAAAACTGGAATCTTATGTCAATGCCAAACTTAATCCTTAAGTGGTACTTCACAACTTTGGGATAAAGCCTGAACTCTTCAGCCTGGCAAACAAGTCCTTTTGCCATCCCTACATCTTTCTCTCCAGCCTTAGGTCTTGTCACGTCTTACCTCATGCCCTTGTTTTGAACTTCACCAGTAATCACAATTCCCCTAAAACCATGCTAACCCTTTTTTTTTGGCCTGCATCTCCTTATCTTTCAAGACTCAGTAAGGGTTTTTTCTGGGAACACGTCAGTCTCCACCCATCTCTGGTTAGCCCCGTCCTGTGTATGCCTGAAGTATCACTCACTGCACTGGATTTGACTCTAAGCTCTTACAGGGTGGGGGCCAAGTCTTTAGTTTTTGTATCCACACTACCCAATAAGGAGCCTGGCGCATAGTAGGTGTTTAATAAATGTCAAAAGAATCGGTAAACTTCAGCAGTCATCAAAATTAACCTGTCACGGAAGAAAGCTAAGTGTAATTTAGGAGCTGTATTGCTCATCATTTACTTTTTAATTTAAAGAAAGATTTGAAGTAAAGTCACCAATGGCTCAGTAAATACAGCAATGAAGAGAGAAACTTCATCCTTTGGTTTTAATTTTGGCCCTTACTTTAATCTTTGTTAAATATCTTATACTCTTTTAATCTTAAAACTACAGAAGAATTTCCTTTTACTAAATCACCCAGAATGCTGTTTTATGTCCGGGTGCGATGATGGGCTGCTGTAGACCCACGTGTCCTCTTAAGGGGCCCCGAGCACAAACTCACAAACACTGGCCTTAGGCTCCATCCAGCAAAGGGACAAGCAGCTAGAAAAGCACCAGAAACATGGGGGAAGGACATGTTTGTCTGGCTTCAGGGAAGGGCTGGAGGGGCAGCTTTCTCAGGGACCAAAGTGCACACAGGAGCTATCATTCCTTTGCTGAGCCCTCCTCCCACACAGCTATAGGTGCAGGTGGGCATCAAGGCTGAGTCTCCGTTAACCTGGCTAACGTTCTTGCCCCACCTAAAATCTCTCAGAGGTCCACAAACCCCCAAAGAGCAGTGGCTGTCCTTGGTGTGCCCCATACCTTTGGCTAAGCAGCCCCAAGCCCAGCATTAGTGGCAGCTGACCTGGGCTCACAGCGTAACCACTCCTAGGTGCCTCCAAGCCCAGCACAGACAGCTACGAACCACAGATCACTTTGTAGGTCCTACCAGGTGGCCCTGGGCCGGTCACAGGTAGATGCTGACCTTAGTCTGCCCCGGAGCCCCTTTCAAGATGCTGACCTTAGCCTACACCAGAGCACCACCCAATTAGCTCCATAAATGACACACCCAAAAAGTTGACTTGGCAGGCTCCAGAGCCCAATAAAGCAAGATGACTATACCCAGCAAGGTTATAATTTAGAATTGAAGGAAAGATAAAAAGCTTCCCAGACAAGAAAAAGCTGAAGGAGTTCATCACCACCAAACCAGTATTATAAGAAATGTTAGCCCTGGCCGGTTTGGTTCAGCGGTTGGAGCGTCGGCCTGCGGTCCTGAGAGACCCGGGTTCGGTTCCCGCTAAGGGCGCGTACCTCGGTTGCGATTTGTCCCCGGCCCTGGTCGGTTGTGCGGGTGGCAGCCACTCTATGTGTTCCTTTCACATCGATGTTTCTCTCTCTCTCTCTTCCTCTCTCTCCCTCCCACTCTACCTGAACAAAAAATGGAAAAGTGTCCTTGGGTGAGGATAAAAAAAAAAAGAAATGTTAAAGGGCTTCTTTAAGATGAAGAAAAAAGTTAAAAAGATGAACAAAAAAAAATATTGCTAAGAAAAAATTCTCACTGACAAAGGCAAACATAATAAAAGAAATGAATCAACCAACACTAAAGCTAGTATAAAGGCTAAAAGGCAAAAGTAGAAAGATCATGTGTAATTACAATAGTAAATTAATGGATACACACAAACACACAAAAGAAAAACATAAACATAAACGTGCAGGGGGTGAGTAAAAATGGTAGTGATTCCAGAATGTGTTCAGACATAAGCAATCATCAACTTAAAATAGACTGCTATAAACATAGCTTGGTATATATGAAGCACATGGTAACTGCAAACCAAAAATCTACAAGAAATAAAGAGAAAGGAATCCAGCCCTGGCTGATTTGGCTCAGCAGTTAGAGCGTCAGTCCGTGGACCAATGAGTCTGGGGTTCGATTCTGGTCAAGGGCACGTACCTCGGTTGCAGTTTGTCCCTGGCCCTGGTCAGGGTCATGTGGGAGGCAGCCAGTCAATGTGTCCCTCTCACATCGATGTTTCTCTCTCTCTCCCTCCCACTCTATCTGAAGATAAATAGAAAAATATTCTCTGGTGAGGATTAAAAGAAAAAAGAGAAAGGAATCCAAAGATAACACTACAGAAAGTCATCAACATACAAGAGAAGAGAGCAGGAAAATAAGAAAGAAACAGAGAACTACAAAAAAAGTCACATAATCTGAAAATAATTAATAAAATGGTAATTATTACATATTTATAAATAATTACTTTAAGGACAAAATGCTCTAATCAAAAGATGAATGGCCCTGGCCAATTTGGCTCAGTGGTTAGAGCGATGGCCCTTGGATCAAAGAGTTTGATTCTAGTCAAGGGCATGTACCTTGGTTGCAGTTCAGTCCCAGAACCTGGTTGGGGTTGTGCGGGAGGCAACCAATTGATGTGTCTCTCTCACATCAATATTTCTCTCTCTCTCTCTCTCCCTCCCTCCCACTCTATCTGAAAATCAATGGAAAACTATCCTCAGGTGAGGATTTAAAAATAAAATAAAATAGCCCTGGCCAGTTTTGCTCAGCAGTTAGAGTGTCAGCCTGCGGTCCAGAGAGACCGGTTCGGTTGCCGCTAAGGGCATGTACCTCAGTTGCAGTTTGTCCCCGGCCCTGGTTGGGTTGTGCAGGTGGCAGCCACTTGATGTGTCCCTTTCACATCCATGTTTCTCTCTCTCTCTCTCTCTCTCTCTCTCTCTCTCTCTCTCTCTCCCCCCCTCTCCCTCCCGCTCTATCTGAACAAAAAATGAAAAAATGTCCTTGGACGAGGATAAAAAATAAATAAAAATAAAATAATAATAAAATAAAAAAGATGAATAGATAGCTCTTTCTGCTACCATCTTGGTTTTATATTTGGTAATCACACAAAATGCCTGGTAAAGCCACCAGCAAACCAATATTATATAAAATGTTACAGGGACTTTTTTAAGAAGAAGAAAAAGATAAAAAATATGAATAATAAAATGTCAATGACTACATACCTATCAATAATTACTTTAAATGTAAGTGGATTAAATGTTCCATTCAAAAGACATAGGGTGGTTGAATGGAGAAGAAATCAAAACCCATACGTATGCTGCCTACAAGAGACCCACTTCATCTGGAAAGATACATACAGATTAAAAGTAAAGGGATGGAAAATGGTATTTCATGCAAATGGAAATGAAAGAAGAGCTGGGGCAGCAATACTTATATTAGACAAAAAAGACTTTAAAACAAAGGGTATAAAAGAGACAAAGAAGGACATTTCATATACCAGAGCCAAGATATGGAGGCAACCTAAGTGTCCATCAATACATGATTGGATAAAAAAGATGTGGTACATATAAACAATGGACTATTACTTGGACATATAAAATAATAAAATTTTACCATCTATAACAACATGGATGGGCCTAGAGGGTATTATGCTAAGTGAAATAAGTCAGACAGAGAAAGACAAACACCATATGATTTCACTTATATGTGAATCTAGAAAACAAAGCAAACAAATAGGCAATGTCAATTGTAATTGGGGAAAAAAAAAATATATATATATATATATTCTTGATTTTTTTCCCTCTCACTCAATTTGTGTAGTTCATCAGTCACTAAATTCTGTTTGCACAGTTCCTAAATCTTTAATTTGTCTATTCCTCTCCAGACTCCTGCTATTTCCTTGACCCAGGCTACCATCATCTCATGCCGACGGTATGCCAAAGATGTCCTATCTGAAATCGCATTTTCCATATCTGTACAAAGGAGATCTAATCATGTCATTTGCATGGATAAACCCGGGACTTGAGGTAAACTCAAACCTGCTGGCCTTTCCAGTCTATCTCTAGTCCCTCTGCTCACATTCCTAGGATATGCTGAATTATTTTCTTTCACTTTGAGGCCCCTTCACTTGTCCTTCCATTTCTTCCCTACTTGCTAACTTTGAAGATGAGACTTCAATGGTGGGTATTATCATTACCAAAACCTCACAAGTTTGGACTGGGTGCCCTTTCCCCTTCCTGTATGTTCTCACAGCACCCTATTCTTGCCTGTCTGGCTTCCCCACTAGACTGTAAGCTCCATGGAGACAGCAGCACATCTGTTTCATTGGTGTATTCCCAATGCCTAGTATTGTGCCTGATACTTGGGCATCCAACATGCATTTTGAATGAATGAATGGTTGAGGAAATATACATCTATCAGCACTGCCAGAAAACAAAGCTCAAGTGGATTCATTAGTATACTGTAAATTACCGGTAGCTATATCAAAGTCTTATTTAATAAATTGCTAAAATATGGTATTGCTTTGTGCCTCCCCTCCCCCAACACATACCCAGTTCTGAGGAATTCTCAGCAAACTATATTTGTATCCATAGTGTGTGCTTGCATTCTTTCCCCAGTCACCTTTTAAGGATTTAACTCCCAACATCACTTAGTACCCTTATGTTTTTAGGTCTTGGAGGAAACTAATAGTAAGTTCATAAAAACTTGAGGAGTCAATAGCACTATTATTTAGCCTCAAATTCCTCACTTGTAAACAGAATTGTTGAAATCAGAGTAATGTGGTTTTTAAATAGCAATGTAAGTTTTTCTAGTAAATAACCATGAATGCTGAAGATGGCTATTTTATTGGTTATTTTGCTAGTTTGGTCTAGTTGTTGTTGTTTTTTTATTATTCCAACAGACATCAATCAGTTAAAGATGTCTTCACAGATGGGAGTGGGGAGCAGACTCATTACATTTTGCATTGCCTTCCATTTTTTAACTGGACTTGGGGACTAAGATCAAACTGAAATATGGTCAAGATAGCATGAATACACGTGCCTGTGACATAGCTCTGTGAGAACTGCTGAGTTCCAAAGTATCTGAGTCAGTTTTAACCAAGACATATAGATTTTGGTTAAAATTGGGATAATCGAATGATTAAAACAGGGATAAAAGAATAAATCATATTCTGATGTTATGGCAATAATTATAATTTAAAAAAGCAATAGTTGCTATAATTGACTATTAAATTTAGCTTCATGCTTTCTGGAGTCAAGTTAAAGCCCAAGTATGATGAGTTAGCTCTCAAATGGTACATATGAATTTGTCAGGAGAAACAAAACTTTTTTCTAGCCCTGAACTCAAATACTAAAGCATGGATCTATTAGAGATATTGAACAATGATAATGAATCAGTTTTATAAAATATGCAGGAAAAAATATAGATGGCCATTTCTTGTGTAAAAAATCTTAATTTATGCCACGGACATGAGCACATTATGCTTCTGTGAAGGCATTTCTTCATGGAGCTGAAATAATGAAATTGCATTTGATAACTTTGATTTAGGATAGAACAAAAAGAATCTAATGGTCAGTCACCCTACCACTTTGAACTGTTGTCTCAAACTCAGTTTCAACAGGTGCTGCAAAAGATATTTCAAAACAAAGAAATATTCTGTGGAGTAAATGGAAAAAATATATGTCTGTTTAAATGGGCAAAGGTGACATTTTACCATAAAAATTAAATACCCGAAGATGTATTATTTGAAGGCCTGCAAAACATCTTCATTTAGGTCCCAACTTTTGTCTACTGCTGTTTTTCTTTTCTATGTTAATTTCCAAGAGCTTTATTCATGATAGACATTAAAGAATGAGTAGGAATGGCTAACACTTATTTAGCACTGAATGTGCCGGCACAGCCCTTAAAATAACTCATGAGGTATTATTATTAATATTCCCATTAAACATGGAGAAAAATCTCAGATAAGAATGATCAGAGAACTTTAATATAAAATAGCAAATGTTTATAAGTTCCCCTTTTTTCATTATTTCATTAATTGAACAGATATTTAGTGGGCACCTTGTAGGTGCAGCGGAAATAACAAAGAACAAAGCAAAGCCTCTGCCCTCCAAAAGTTTATTTTTAATCAGGGAGACCAAAGAGCAAGTAAAAACAGAGCAAGGAGATATTGCCGTTGCTACAGGGTCATCAGAGAATGCCTTCAAACACTTTTTTGAAGACTTGGAGGCGGGGACAACCAACCAGCTCGCCAACACAAACCTGAGGACAGCTTGTCCCACCACAGTTTCATCCGTTCACTGTCTCTGTGAGTTATCATCTGGGTCACCGCTATCCCAAGTTGGGTTTTGTACATGATGAAGTACGAAGTTCTCACCATTATGCAAATGAAAAAATTTGCTTTAAAAAAAAGACTCCTTTATTTAGACACGGGATCCTGTCTCTCTTCGGCGCTGTTTTTCTTCGTACCCTGTTCTGGCCCCGAAAGGGGAATGGGGACCTCCCCTCCTCTCCTAGCCATAGGGCAGCCGGCGCCGTACATCTGATCCATGTGTGTACGTGCAGTGAGACGTAAGGGGGACGCTACAGCTCCGGCCCTGACGTCACCAGTTATTGCAGCCTCGGGATCCGAGCTGCCGCCTCGCCTGGGGCGGCCCCAGACGCTGGGTGGGACCGAAAGCTGGCGGTGAGGCCCGAGCCCCGCCCCTCCGCCGAGCCCCGCCCCTCCGCCGAGCCCCGCCCCTCCGCCGAGCCCCGCCCCGCGCTCGGCTCGGCCTGCGCCCTGCGCACCTCGCGTCCCTGCCAGGCCCCGCGGGCGCGGTCGTCATGACGGCGGCTGTGTTTTTAGGCTGCGCCTGCATTGCTTTCGGACCTGCGCTCGCTCTCTACATCTTCACCATCGCCACGGAGCCGTTGCGCATCATCTTCCTCATCGTCGGGTGAGGCGGTTGCGCTGGGAAACCTGGAACCGGGGCTCCCCTCCCCCGCCGGGGGTACCGGCGACCCCGGGCGTCACCACCCAACTGCTCGCCTTGTTGGGCTTTGAAGGGGAGAAGGGTTGAAACGGGGAGAGCCGAGACCCCTCTCTTCTGGGACGCCTCGCCCGCCTCCGAGGGTCAGCCCGAAAAGAACAAGAACCCCGCGACCCCAGAGGGCGGGCTCTGGGGAAGGAGTTAACACTGTGGGTCTCAAAAACCCTGATACTGGGCTCCTGAGGTTTTGCTTAAGATCCGTGTTTGGGCTGTAGTGGGTCGTGAAGAAGCCACTTAAATTGAATGGGGGAAATGTGGATACGTTCAAATATGCATCTTTTATTTTTCTGGAGACGGGGTCGCAAGTTAACTTCAGATTCTCGCCGTTTCTGTAACCCGAAAGGGGTTAAGGGCCATAGCACCTGGGCATCCAGTACTTTAAAACACACAGATGCACAACCCTTACCCTAGGTCAACTGAATCGGAATGCCTACGGGGGTGGGATTCAGGCTATGGATTTATTTTAAAGCTTCCCAAGTGATTCAGGTGTGCATGCAAAGGGTAGAAACCTGTACAAACACAGAAGCACCAGTCAGTGCGTCTGCTTGCAGGAGCTTGGTAAATACCGAACTCTGGTGGTGAATATGGTCATAATCCTAGTTTTCCTCTGGCAACTCTTACTGAGGCTTCCCACGTACCCCTACACCCTTGAGTCTCACTTCACACCAGGAGAAAGCCAGGCTAGGCCAGTGGTGCTCACCTTCTCTGAGTTTTTTTCACTTCTCACAACTGTATAGAAAATGCTGCATCACATTGTCAATTAAAAAGCGATAGAGTTTGGGCAAAGGGTTTGTAAAGCTTGTTATAATCACTAAAATCCATAGGAATGTTGTAAAAGCAAAGCCTGGAAAACTAGATCAGAACACAGCTTTTCAACTTCTGGATTTTATACCAATCACTCTTAATAGAGATGTAGATTTATTTTTTTTCCCCTGGGAAAACATATTTGCACCTCAATGCGCAAAGCATTAATCAGGAAGAATAGCAAATAAAATTTCCAGCTAGACAGTCCTTGGCCAGTAGTCTGCAGATGTACTTAAATAGTAGGGTCACTGAAAGAGTGATTTGTTAGGAAAAATCCCAAATTCTTTTTGGATTACATGTTCATCTCACCAGAGAAAATCACCACTGATCCACTGATTAAGAACAATGGATCCAGAGCATCACTTTATGAGCACTTAAAAAAAAAAAAAATTAATCCTGTACTTATGTTTACTTGTGATCCTCTCCCTCTCCCCTTTATTTTTCAGAGCTTTCTTCTGGTTGCTATCTCTACTGCTTTCCTCCCTTGTCTGGTTCGTGGCAAGAAGCATTGCTGGCGACAATGATGGACCAGTACAGAAATATCTGCTGATCTTTGGAGTGTTAGTCTCAGTCCTTATCCAAGAAATGTTTCGCTTTGCATATTATAGACTTTTAAAGTAAGTTAAATATTTATTTACCTTTTTTCCAGTTAATTTGAATGATGATTTAGTAATTTGAAAAATTGGGGATGTAGTGTAGTATTTGAAAGCCCATGCCTTTCTACATAGTTTGAAGCCAAGTGATTAGAACATTTCCAATCTGAAAATATTGAGTATTTTAGCTTGTGGATAGTCTTTCCTTCATTCACTCATTCAAAAATTATTTTTTGAGAATTTACTCAATGCCAGGCATTATTCTAGGCTCTGGGGATACATCATGATTAAAAGCGTTTCTGTCCAGGCCCGGCTGGTGTGGCTCAGTATATTGAGCATCGCCCCATGGATTGAGAGGTCCGGGTTCTATTCCCTGTCAGGGCACATGCCCCGGTTGGGAGCTTGATCCCCAGTAGGAGGCATGCAGGAGGCAGTCAGTCAATCGATGTTTCTATCTCTCCTATTTTCTCTCTCTAAAAAAATCAATAAAAACATTAAAAAAAAGTTTCTGTCCTTGTGGAAGTTATTATAGTGGAAAGAGACAGGCAAATGAATGTATAAGAAAATACATTTGTATATTAGAAGATAATAAGTGCCATGAAAAAAAGCTAGAGAAATAGACATTGAAACAAACAAAAACCATTCCACCTTAGAATTTATATCAGCTTCCCTTTGTCACCAGCTAAAATAAATAATTCTTACAGAGATTATGCCTACCATTATTTTAATTGTGTTAGGGAAAATAGGGGTTTATTTTGTAATATTTCATATTTGTAATAGAAAAACACATTTGCAAATAAAGCCGTAGGCATGAGTTCCCTTTAGGGAGCTGTAGGCCAGAAAGTAGGTCATCTAGGATTCATGAGGACTTCACATGAAACCACTGATTTGAAACACAGTTTGAACTTAGAACCATATTTTCTTTCAGGCAGTCATGAGATTGGCTTTGATTATGTGGTAAGACTTAGTATAATGATAAATGTGCTCTTTCCTCTTTGGCAGATGAGATAGTTAAGCCACTCCATGAATTTCATGGATGTAACCAAGACAGAGCTTCAACAATATCTCTTATAATAACTTCTGATAGTTTGGTCTTGCCAATATGCTAGTCTTTCACTATTTTTTACTTGTTGCTTTAAATAACAGATATTGAAATTTAATAAAAGCAATTTAAATTATAAATTGAAAACCATGAAGCCATTGTTTACAAGCAAAAGTTATATTTTAGAAAATGTTTAGAAATTTCCATTAGTTCTTGGAAATAATAAAAAGCAACCAACAAATATCAAAGATAAAACTTAAGTTCCCATGGGAATGCATTATCCTTAACAGATGGACATTAATCTGTGATTGAATGTTCCTGAGAATGCAGCAGTTACTGCCATCCCAAAATTTAATTTTAACTGTGGAATATTATTAAGATAATAAAAATCTCCCTCTTTCTGACCTCTGCCCCACTCAAGAACCACATAGTCAAATGAAATGTCTGCCACATGGTAGTCGTCTCTCTTACAGCTAAATGTTCCTCATTTCTTCACCTGGCCCTCAGAAGACATGTCTGTGGCTTCCAAACCTTTTCTGGTCTCTTTTCTTTTATATCAGTAGACATGTCCCTTTTTGTCAGTGCCTGGACCCAGCAGAGTACCCTGCTGTGATCATAGGAGTGCCGAGGGCAGTGGCCCTTCCCTCCCTTGTCTGGGCACTGTACTCTTTAAAAAGCCAGCCTCAGGTTGCACTGGGTTTTCCTATCAGTAACATTCTTGGCTCATGATGTTGGTTTTGCATTTTCACATATGATGGTTCTAGTTTTGAAGTAAAATTTTGAATAGGTTTTCATTTAGGACATGGATTTAGTAACCCTTTGACTTTAGGTTCTAAAACCTAAATGGGTATCTGCCTGTTTCTTCGCAGTTCCCACCTGAAATGCAGCTCTTTATTAGCACTAACCTGTGGTTCCAAAGGACTAGACACTGAACATTGGTTGACATTTTTGATGAGGGCAGTGAGGGAAGAGGGCCACATGCAGAAGGAATTACGGCTGTCAGTAGTCTGCAGGCTCTCATGCCAGCTAGTTCAGAGAAGCCTCTTTAGGGCCTTCCGGAAAAACCATGTTTACTGCTCCAAAAGGACCTTTGGAAATTTGCAAAAAGATATTAGCACAAACTTGTATTAACAGGTGCCTTTTGGTTGCCTTTGCAAAATGCATCTTCAGCAAGTGTTTGAAATATTGTACATCATCTTCCTAGAAGATTTTAGAAATGTTGGATGTTACGTAGTTACTTGGTAAAACAAGTTAGAGAATTATTATGATACTTTATTCATGGCTAACATTTATATAGATGCATTTAAGTTCCTCTCTTATGCTACACTACATTCAAAGATAGGAACTTCAGTTTAATCAATATTTTCACTATCCCACTGCCAAAGTACATCTTGAACATTTAAATTTAAAGTACTGCCCTAATCAAATTTTTGATGTCTGAATTTGATGTCAAGATGAAAATGAGGAGAGTTTGCACCAGTATTTTTTTTTTTTTACATATATGGATCTGAATCAAAGTATGTATCACTGCAGTTTACTATAAGTTTATTTTATGGGTCAGGCCTTAAAAACAGTACTTCATCTTGAATGAATGAATTATAACTTTCAGCCTAGCAAAGAGTTGCGCTGTGAGAAATTGGCTGTGGCCACAAGTGATATCCCTTTCTACCTTCATTTCTTTTTAGAACTCTGAGTTATGGCCCTGTACACTGCCTAAAATATATATTAGAATTATTTTTTTTTTGGCTTGGATTGAAGCTTTTCTAGCTTAATTCAATATTGTCTTATAATGCTGATACCATAAATATTTGGTAATTTGAGAAAATCATTTATAAAAAAAAGTTAAGATAATCATTGCTATAATTCCTTAAAAGGCATATTTTAAAATTTTTCTAAAATGGTATATTTAATTAATTTATTATTATTATTTTATCCTCACCCAAGGACATTCTTGCATTTATCATTAGAGTAGAAGGGAGAGAGGGAGGAAGAGAGAGAGAGAAACATCTATGTGAGAGAGACATATCGAGTGGTTGCCACCCACACAACCCGAATCAGGGCTGGGGACAAACTGCATCTGAGGCACGTGCCCTTTGCAGGAACCGAACCTGGGACTCTCTGGTCCGCGGGCCGACACTCTAACTGCTGAGCCAAACCGGCCAAGGCGTTATATTTAATTTATATGCATATTCCTTGGTACTGTCCCTCTCTTACGCAGGTGTCCAAAAAAAAAAAAAAATCAGAAAAAATGAGAAATATGGAATGATTTATCATAAGTATTTCAAACTTTATATATATATATATTTTTTTATCCTCACCCGAGGATATTTTTCCATTTTTTGTACAGATAGAATGGGAGGGAGAGAGAGGAAGGGAGAGAGAGTGAGAAACATCGACGTGAAGGGACACATCAAGTGACTGCCACCCGCACGACCAACCAGGGCCGGGGACAAACTGCAACCAAAGTACGTGCCCTTAGCGGGAACCGAACCCGGGTCTCTCCGGACCGCAGGCCGACGCTCTAACCGCTGAGCCAAACTGGCCAGGGCTCAAACTTTATATTTTTAAAATTGGGCTTTTTTTTTCTTTTGTTCTTAGACAGTATAATAAATGAAAACAAAGGATTTTCCACTTCAGTATAATGGTCATATTAAGAACACTGTCTCTCATATCATCAGTTGTGTGTTCTGTGAGGAACGCGGAAACTGATGGTGTTTTGTACTTTCTCACTTCCTAATCTTAACATGGAGAACTATTAGTGCTATAGTCCTTTCCTCCCACAAACTTGTAATATAGAATGAGGAAGTTTATTAACTTTTCAGTTTATATATTTAACATATTTGTGATAACAGTACTTCACTATACCAAATAGCAAAAATCTTGAAAAAATTTTTTTTTATCCTCATCCGAGGACATTTTTGCATTTATCTTCAGATAGAGCAGATAGAGTGGGAGGAAGAGAGAAAGAAACATCGATGTGAGAGAGACATATTGAGTGGTTGCCACTCACATGACCCCAACCGGGGCTGGGGACAAACTGCAACCGAGGTACTTGCCCTTAGCGGGAACCGAACCCAGGACTCTCTGATCCGCGGGCTGATGCTCTAACCACTGAGCAAAACAGGCCAGGGTGCAAAAATCTTTTATTCATTACTGAGTAATTTGTATAAAACAAAAATCCTCCCAAATTTATTGATTCTTTTATATACCATTTTCCACCCTTTTGCTTTGCATCTACCTTTGTTTTTGTAGCTTAGATGTGTCTCTTGAAGGCAGCATATGATTGGGTTTTGTTTTTTGGTCCAGTCTGCTACTCTGAGCCTCTTTATTGGTGAATTCAGTCCATTTACATTTAGGGTAATTATTGATGTATGAGGATTTCCTATAAATCTTTTATCCTTTGTTTTGTGGTAGCTCTCTGCTTCCATTGGTTCTTTTCCTTTGTTTTTCTGTTTTTGTTTGTTTATTTGGTGGTATCCATACTTCTTTCTTCTGTTTCCTCCTTTTTTAAGCTGTGTGTCTCAATTTTAGGTTTTTTGTTGTGTGGTTACCATTAGGTTTATGGAAAAGAAAGTTGCATATATACAGTAGGGTATTCCCCCCCACCCCCACCCCATTTAGTGCTCTTATCTCCATTCTCCTTTGCCAGTTTAGACCTTCACTCCCTCCCCTTTTATGTGTTCATTGTTACAAATTATCCCTGTTTATGCTGTAAGTTTTTTGGTGATCTTACTCATAGTGTTGTGACCTTATGCTCTTTATTTCAGGTAGAATAATCCCCTTGAGTATTTCCTGCAATATAAGTTTTTTGGTGATAAATTCCCTCTGCTTCTATATGTCTGGGAAAAATCTTTATTCTCCTTCATATTTAATGGATAGCTTTGCTGGATATATTATTCTTGGCTGGTAATTTCTCTCTTTCAGTCGTTTGAATATTTGGTTTCACTCTCATCTGGCTTACAGAGTTTCTGCCAAAAAGTCTGATGATAACCTGAGGGATTTCCTTTGTAGGTCATTTCCTTCTTTTACCTGGCTTCTTTGAGAATTTTTTCTTTGTCAGTAACTTTTTACAGTTTTAATATATTGTGCCTTGGAGAGGGCCTCTTTGGATGGAGGTAACTTGGTGTTCTGTTTGCTTCTTGGATTCAATGATCTAATTCCATAAGTTTGTGAAGTTCTCATCCACTGGTTTTTTAGTGGGTTCTCTGTTTGTTTCTCTCTCTCTTCTTCTGGTATGCCTATTATTCTTATATTGCTTTTTCTGATGGAGTCAGATAGTTCTCATAGAGCTCTTTCATTTTTAAAAAAATGTTCAGGCCTTTCTCTTCTTCCCTCTGTGTCATTTCTAGATTCCTATCCTTGATATCACTAATTCTTTCCTCCATGTGGTCAGCTCTGTTTCCTGTGCTCAGTAGTTCACTCCTAATCCCCATAATTGAATGCTTCATTTCCAGGATTTCTGTTTGGGTGGGTTTTTTTGTTTGTTTTAAATTTTTTTTTTCTTTATTGACATTAGAGAGAGAAGAATGGAGAGGGAGAGAGAGATAGAAACATCAATGAGAGAGAACATCAACTGGCCGCCTGCTGCATGCCCCCCACTGGGGATTGGGCCCACAACCTGACCATGCGCCCTGATCACAAATTGATCCAGCGACCTCTTGATGCATGGGTCAATGCTGAACCACTGAGCCACACTGGCCGGGCTTTTGATTGTTTTTTAAAGTTTCAATCTCTTTGGTAAAGTACTCATTTTGTTCATTAATTTGTTTTCTGAGTGCATTAAATTGCCTGTCTGTATTTTCTCACATCTCAGGTATATTCAGTACTTTGATCTTGAATTCTCTGTCATTTATATCACATATTTCTATGTGCTCCAGTTTGGTTTCTAGAGATTTTTCATTTTCTTTCTGAGCTGCCTTGCTATCATTGTTATTCATGGTATTTGCTGGTCTCTTCTGTCTAGGCATCTATGTATTATTGGTCCTTTTTTAGCAGCTTTCTCTGAAGAGGTCTTTCTTCTATTTTCCCGTAGGAGGCGCTGAATCACAAGGTTTTTACCTCTGTGAAATCCCACAGTTGACCTCTGCTGCTGCCATCAAGACAGTACAGCCACACTGCTTGGGTTGGGGTTTGTCTTGCCCTCTCAGTAATGGTGACTCCTGACCTTTGTGAGGTCCCCCCACGAACTCCAATTGGGGATCAGTCACAGAGGGAAACAGTGATTCTACTGCAATAGCTCTCGATTTACAGATAATGTGTTTCTCAATGCAACACCAAGGGTGACAGGAGGCGAGTTTTGGGAGTCCAAGGGGGAGCAGGGCTCTGTGGGCTCCATTTCTTTGTCTGCAACACTTACCGCCCCACAGTGGACAACTGTGGCAGAACCCTCATGCTGTGTCCTTGCCCAGGTGTCTCAGCTGGCTTAGTTGTAGTTCACACCCCACACTCCTGTAGGAGTGCTCACTGAGACTCTTCCTTCCGGCCAAAGGAAGCACCTGCTACCAATGGCTTCCTTCCCTCTCCTGGCCGAGCTGGCCGGCGGTGAGCTCCTGGCTGCAGGGCTGTGTCCGTGGCTGTCTGAGCTCTCCTCCCTTCTTGCCTTCCCATTTGTTCCCATGTACCCACCTTTAGATGCTTCAGTGTGCAGTTCTTTCAGGCGTGCCTCTATATTGAGCAGGGAATCCTTTCCTGAGTTATAGTTCATCAGCTTGTTAAAGTTTCAGGGGGAGAGACCAACGTGATTTCCCGTACCGCCATTCCTCTGACCGCCATAGGATATTGAACTAAGTATTTACTGGTCTCAGAAAGTAGTCAGAAGTATTGCTTTTTTTTTTTTATGATGGTTTGTTTACTTATATTTTTTTTATTTTTCTCTTTTATGTGAAAGTCAGATAAAGGGAAAAGTGGGCTGGAAATTTTGATTGATTTTAGGTAATTGCAAATTTCCTGGGTTTTTGTTTAAATGGATTTTAGATTTAGAGTATAACCTTATCAAAAGCCTCAGTAAGTACAGTGATACCTCGGTTCTCGAACATAATCCGTTCCAGGAGGACGGTCGAGAACCAAATTGTTCGAGAACCGAAGCAATGAAACCAATAGGAAATAATGGAAACTGGATTAATTCGTTCCAAGCCCCAGAAAATGCCTATTTACTGGCCTAATTTGTATATAATATGTAGAAAAACATAAGTCTCAACAAGAAATAAAAGTGTACAGTGGAACCGAGGTATCACTGTATCTGGATTTTGAAGTATCTCGTGTATTTTCCTGATATGCTGCTTTTTCTTTTTCTTTTTAATTATCTGTGTGATTTACTTTAGAAAAGCCAATGAGGGTTTGAAGATTATGAACCCAGATGAGGAAGCACCTTCTATGCGACTGCTGGCCTATGGTAAGTTAGAATTGCATGGTATTGTTAAAAAAAAAAAAAAAAAATCAAGTTTGGGACAAAAGCCATTATTATCTTTTATATCTTTGTAGATACAGTATTTTATTGCTGCCTGGTCTATTGGTGTATGTTGTTTATTTTTCTAGCTTTTTGGGGCCATTATGTAAAAGGATGTGATTGCAGGTGACGCTTGTCTGTGGGTCCATTACATATTAGCCCAGTTTGAAAGTTAGGTTTTTAACACTCTAGTTAACTAACAATTTCTAAGTGAGGTTACTGTTACCTTCTCTGGGTGGTTACCATGACTTTGGCTGTACTAGAACGACTCTTTATATTACGGTTAATACCTCTGCATATTTTGAATCACCCAGTTTGGCCCTGAGATCACTTCTTACAATGCAGTCACCCTTCAAATGCAGTTCCCAGTTCTAAGCCATCAAACTTAATTCTGCAGATTCTGTCTTCATAAACCAAAGCCAGAGCTTCAGCATTGTATCCTTCTCTATCTCACCTATTGCTTCTGTGCCTAGCTAGATCTTTTTCTGTCCTTTTTCATTTCTCTACTACACTCCACTATTCATTTCCTTTCCTCTTCTCACTTGATTCACCTGCCTTTTCTGAGCCAGCTTTCCACTGTTTTCTCAATAGCATGTGCACCCTTTCCCCTTCAACAAAAGAGCGTTTCCTAGACCTTAGACATTTGATTTAAGACAAATTAGAGCATGGAAGGGTTTAACAGTGTTTTTCTTCCTCTTTAGTTTCTGGCCTGGGCTTTGGAATCATGAGTGGAGTATTTTCCTTTGTGAATACCCTGTCTGACTCCTTGGGGCCAGGCACAGTGGGCATTCATGGAGACTCTCCCCATTTCTTCCTAAATTCAGGTATGTGCCTGGTAGTTGTGTATGTTTAGGCTTCTGTTCTAAATGATCATCCTGTTGGAGTTCCCTGGTTTAGGAATTCAAATGAATAGAAATTTATGTTATATTTTCTAAAGGCAAAATACTGTTAGATACCACAAAGTAAAGGTCCTAGGAAAATAAAAGGTTTGGTTTGAATATTTTAGAATTTTAGAGTGGAATTTAGCTTTTATAAAATCTATTTTATTTTTATTTTATTATACTAACAATGTTGCTGTATATTTGATATATTACAAGTTAACTTTTATAGGCTATATGCTCTTTTTTGTTTTTATCAGTTTGTATTTATTTTTAGTATAAGCCCTAATCTTTAATTAACTGTTATCTTGGCCTCTTTTTGGGATAGGCAATATAATTAAATCTTGAAATTAAGAGGAAAAAATGGTTCTCGTTTAATGTGAAATAATGTTCCATGCATGTCTAAAAATATATACTTAAACATATATGTATCATTTAAAGAATAACAACCCATCTTCCTTGTTTCTTAAGAGCTAGAACAGAAGCAGGACCTTAGAATCCCTTGTTCCTCATCACTCTTCCCTCACAAGTAACTGTTGTCCTGACTTTAGTTATTAATTTCCTAGCTTAATCATTTTGAAAGTTAGGTTTCTAACATGTATACATGTTTTGTATGTATACATGTATGTATCTGAAAGAAAATTAATAGTTTTCTGTTTTTGAACATTCAAAAATAAATCATACTATATTCTTTAAAAAAAAGAAAGAGAAAAAATGATAATAGATGAATTGAGCTTTTTAATCAAAAGATGCAGTATAAAAGAACCAAGTCAATTGAAGGTGCTATTTTATCTTGATGATAAAAATTAAATGTGAAATAATGTCACAAGATAAAAATTATCATGATACAATGATCACATCTTTGAGAGTTGGTAAGGTACATAATTAACATAAGATTTCTCCTTAATTTCACAAGAAGAATCTCTTAAAAGTAGTTTTAAAAAACCTCACTCTAAGTTTTATCTGCACAAGTTATATCATTGAAATAAGTGATCCCGCCCTGGCCAGTTTGGCTCAGCGGTTAGAGCACAGCCTGCAGTCCAGAGAGACCCGGGTTCGGTTCCTGCTAAGGGTATGTACCTTGGTTGCAGTTTGTCCCTGGCCCTGGTTGAGTTGTGTGGGTGGCAACCACTTGAAGTGTCCTTTTTACATCGATGTTTCTCCCTCTCTCTCTCTCTTCCTCTCTCTCCCTCCCACTCTATCTGAATAAAAAAACGGAAAAATGTCCTCAGGTGAGGATAAAAAAAGAAAGAAAGAAGTGATCTCATTCACACATTTTTTTTTTATGGACCTAAGAAACAGGTTTATTGAAGAAAATATAATCTTATAGGTTTGAAAATATTATTTAAATAAAATTTTGAAGTAGCTATGTGATTACAGCAATATTTTTTACTATAAGAATTATTAAAAAGAAATAAAAAGGAGTCCAGGAGTCCAGCTGGTGTGTCCAGTGGTCGAGCATCAACCCATGCGCCAAGACGTCGCCAGTTCGACTTCCAGTCAGGACACATGCTCAGACTGTGGGCCCGATCCCCAGTGGGGGGCATGCAGGAGGCGGCCAGCCGATGTTCTTTCTCATCGATGTTTCCATCTCTCTCTCCCTCTCATTTCTTCTCTATATTCTGAAAAGAAATACTACCAATTTTATAACTGAATAGGATGCCTTTGCCTCTTCTAGGTGAGGTTACTTCAAAGAACTCCATTGTTATTGTGAAGATAAATGAGCTGATGATATATGTGGGATTCTCGCATCTTGCCTGGCACATAGTGAGGCCTCAGGAACTGCTATTCGTGCCTCTAGCGGGAAGCGAACCCAGGGCTCTCTGGTCTGCAGGCCGACACTCCAACTGCTGAGCCAAACTGGCCAGGGCCCCATTCACACTTTTTTTTTTTAATCCTCACCCAACGACATTTTTTCCCATTTTTGATAGAGTTCAGATAGAGTGGGAGGGAGAGAGAGAGAAACATCGACGTGAAAGGGACACATCGAGTGGCTGCCACCCGCACCACCAACCAGGGCTGGGGACAAACTGCAACTGAGGTACATGCCCTTAGCGGGAACCAAACCCAGGTCTCTCTGGACCGCAGGCTGACGCTCTAACCGCTGAGCCAAACCGGCCAGGGCCCATTCACATATTTTAAAAATTAAATTAAATTATTATTATTATTATTATTATTTTTTAATCCTCACCTGAGGGCATTTTTTCCATTTTTTGTTCAGATAGAGTGGGAGGGAGAGAGAGGAAGAGACGGAGAGAGAAACGTGAAAGGGACACATCGAGTGGTTGCCACCCACACGACCCAACCAGGGCTGGGAACAAACTGCAACCGAGGTATTTGCCCTTAGCGGGAACCAAACCCAGGTCTCTCCAGACCACAGGTCAATGCTCTAACCTCTGAGCCAAACCGGCCAGGGCGATTATTATTATAATTTTTAATCCTCACCCGAGGATATTTTTTTTCCCATTTATCGTCAGCTAGAGTAGGAAGTGGGGTGGGGAGAGAGAAACATTGATGTGAAAGAGACACATCAATTGGTTGCCTCCCACATGACCCCGACCAGGGCTGGGGACCAAACTGCAACTGAGATACATGCCCTTGACTGGAATTGAATCAGCAACTCTTTGGTCTGCAGGCCGACGCTCTAACCACTGAGCAAACCAGCCAGGGCTAAATTAAATTATTGTTTATTTAACATCTACACGGAAGTAATTTCTGTGTTCAAGGAAGTTAACTTTTAGTAGGGGGAATGAGATTTTTAAAAAAGTGATTAAGCGTTTCAATACAGTTTAATAATAGAAAAGATATAAAGATGTATGACCAAATTTAAAAAGTATTGCCACAGAAATTTAGAGACATTCTGCATGTTGTTCACCACTTCACTTCAGGCCTTGGTATCTCCTGTTTAGAGTACTAACATCCACCCCCACTTTCCATGTGAATCCGTCCTGTACGCAGCCACCAAACTAATCTTCCCCATACAAAATGTATAGTGGCTTTCCAAGGTCTACCGGATAAAGTCAGGGCTCTTTACATCTGGCTGCAAGTCAGAGGGCAGGAAAGGGTATTAATGGATCATACTTATTTAGTGGTGCTTCCAACATAGCAAATTGCTTTTTTTTTTATCCTCACCTGAGGACATTTTTCCATTTTTTTATTCAGATAGAGCTGGAGGAAGAGAGAGAGAAACATCGATGTGAAAGGGACACATCGAGTGGCTGTCACCTCCACGACCCAACCAGGGCTGGGGACAAACTGCAACCACAGTACGTGCCCTTAGCAGGAACCAAACCTGGGTCTCTCTGGACCACAGGCCGATGAGCCAAACTGGCCAGGGCACAAATTACTTTTTAAAAAAACGTTCCATAATTAGAATATTTTAAAAATGATTATAGTACTGTGTGTCCGTTTTTTAGAACAAATGTATATAAATAGCTGAAGTCTGTTAGAACCCAATGTAAATTAACAAAAACATAATCAGGAGGGGGTATTACTGCTACAGTTTCCTGTATTTTCTTAAATTGGCCTATTATACTGCCACATCAGTAACATTGTTTTGGTTCTGAATTAGCATTCTCCTAATGGAATTCCTTTTTCTTCCAGCTTCTTTCACTAGATGGTGCTAATTCACTTTAGTGAGCTAGGCTGTTTTCCTAAAACTAACTTTCTTTTCTTTTTTTTTAATCTTTATTGTTGAATATAAAATGTATTACAGATGTTCCACATTTTTCCCCCATTGACACCCTCCTCCCCATTCCCGCCCCCCTCCCACCTTTTCCCACACTATTGTCTGTGTCCATTGGTTATGCATATAAGTTCTTTGGTTTATTTCCCCCTCCCGCCCCCCCAACCCCTTTCCCTTTGAGGTTTGTCAGTCTAGCAATGAATTTGTACTTCTTAATCTCTTCACCTTTTTTACCCATTCCCCCAACTCCCTCCCATCTGGCAACCAACAAAATGTTCTCTGTATCTATGAGAATGCTAAAACTAACTTTCAGTGATTCTTTTGGAAGAAAGTAAAAGAAGCATATGCTAGCAGTTTGACAATTGTATTTGTCATTTCTATTAATTCACGGGAAAATTTAAAGAAAAGAAATTTTTTTACCTTTATTGATTTTAGAGAGAGAGGAAGTAAGAGGGAGAGAGAGAGAGAAATATTGATGAGAGAGAACATCCATTTGCCACCTCCTGCATGCCCCCTACTGGGGATCGGACCTACAACCTGGGCATGTACCATGACTGGGAATCGAACTGGCGACCTCTTGTTGCATGGGTTGACACTCAGCCACTGAGCCACACCAGCTGGACAAGAAAAGAAAATATTTTAATGTCTAAGTTAGGAAAACGGGCTGACCATCTGTGAATACGTTACTGTAGAGTGAAAGAACAGCTGCTACTTTGTCATGTGCAAGAGTTTCTTATTTATTATAACATTATCCTTTGGAGCATAAACTTTGAACTATACATTTAAGAAATTACTTTTTATTGCATTTAAAAATAACCCATAATTAGTATATATTTGTTGTTATTTATAATTGTTACCATTTATATAAGCATGAGCTCATTTTTAATTTTTCAGTTAAATCTATAAGTTTATATGTTAGTTTAACATATTCCATTATAAGTGCCTGAGTAATCAAAATAAATAAGGAATATGGAGGTCATTAATTAATATATCTATGTTAGTGTAAGATATATAATACTAGTATGTACATGTGTTTTTATGTTATAGATGGGTATAGTTTATAAATAACACGCACATATGTATATGTTCTTCTTCTTTTTTTTTTTTAATCCTCACCCGAGGACATTTTTCCATTTTTTGCACAGATAGAGTGGGAGGGAGAGAGCGGAAGAGAGAGAGAGGGGAGAGAGCGGAAGAGAGAGAGAGAGAGAGGGAAACATCGACGTGAAAGGGACACATCGAGTAGCTGCCACCCGCACGA